TATTGAAATGGGAAGAGACCAGAAGCAGGGCAAGCGATTTGAGTAGGCAAAAGCATGTGTAATCAGTCTTGGTCAAACAGAGGTCCTGATGGTTCTCCTCTCAGGATGGTCAGGGTCCTTGTTAACCATTAAGAAATCTGCTGTAAACTAGGCATGGAGGCAGTGGAGACTTGGAACCCTAGCACTTGGAAGGCTGAAGCAGGCATATCCCAGCAAATTCAAGGCTAGCCTAGACTACATAGTGAGTGAAAGACCAGCCACCTGGTGAGATCTTATCTCCAATCAATCAGTTAATTAATTTCCTATAAACTAGGCATGGTGTATCATACGGTGGTCCCAGGTCGAAGCAGGACTGCAAGTTTGAGCCCAGCCTGGGGAGTTTAGCAACTTGGTGAACTTACTGAGACCTTGTCTCAGAATAAAAAATGACTGCACATATAGCTCATTGGGAAGGCCCTGAGCTAAATCCCCAATAACAGGAGTGGGGTGGGGGTTGCCGGAGCTTGGAGCCCCAGGGACAGTTGTGACTTCTGGACCAAGATATTTAATCATCAGACCTATTTTTCCTGGAATCCAAGGTGACTGCAGGAGAGAATGACTCAGAGCAGAAGCGACAGATGCAAAATGGAGGTAGAGATGCCAAGTTTTTATCCTACTTTGAATTATCCAGTGGGCATTTGCAGGTCCAAGCAAAGCATCAGGGTTTTTAGTGAAACCAGCCTGTAGTCATGTCAGCCTCTGCGGTCCAGATAGCACCACTGCGATGATTCAGCCCCTGATTCGACTTTGGGCCTGACTTTTCATGGAAATGGTGCACAGATTCCAAAGCAGTAGAGGGAAAAAGAAGGGTTAGGAAAACATGACAAAGGCAAACGAGAAACACAGCCAATTCAAGGAAGCTTAAATAATTTGAGAGAGAGGAAACAGGCAGAGAAAAAAAAAATCGAGGATGACAAAGGAAAATGGTTGAAGTAAACAAAATACGTCGCTGATCACACACACACACACACACACACACACACACGAAAAAATGAGGAGTTCCAAGTTGCAATGCTTCTTATCACCGCTACCATTCCCAACCTTGGACCCCTCCTCCCAGGGTCCAACCCCAGCCCTCAGCGCTCTTGTTGCGGCCAGAAGTTCCCGGATGAACACCAGCTCTGGCCAAGTCCCTCCCCAGCTGGAACCTTCCCATGGCTCTATCTCACGCACGGGGACAAAGCCAAAGTCTCCATGCGCCTCTGCGCCATCTGCTTCTTGTTCCCTCTCTGACCTCCTCTCCCCACACTGGCCCCCACCGCGCCACTCCTCAGGAACGCACAGATCTGAAATGCCCTGTGTGATCTCGCCACAGGACCTTTGCACGGGCTGTCCTAGTTACCAGGAAGGTCTCTTTTCTCTTCCTTCCTGGCTGGCCCCTCAGTGTTGATTGGATAAATAAACTGAACACCACCCATCGTGGGACCTCGGGGCCCAAGAAAGAGACCTATAACAGCAATAACTAGGATAATTTTTTTCCTATGTTGAGTGAAAAAAAGCCAGACTAAAAAGGACATTTTTCCGATTTCATGTCTATAAAGTTCAAAACGGACATAAGCAGTCTCTGCCATTGGAGGTGTTAGTGACAGTGACTGTGGAGGGAGAGAACAAGCCTGAAAGGAGCCAGGAGGGGGATCTGGTGGCTGGGGGCTGGAGACATGGTGTGTTGAGACTTCATCCAGCTGGGACTGTGCACGAGTACCTTTCTGCATGAGTGCACAGGCCTTGGGTTGATAAACACTTGTGACCCAGGCCCTGGGGTGTGTGCCTGTAATCCCAGTGCTCAGGAGGCTGAGGCAGGAGACTCTGAATTCTAGGCCAGTCTATGATATATAGTGAGTTCAAGGCCTCAAAACAAACAATTTTTTTTTTTTTTTTGGCTTTTTCATTTTTATCGGTACCGGGGATTGAACTCGCAACCGCCTGCTTGCAAGGCAGGTGCTTATGCCGCTGAGCTAAATCCCCAGCCCCTGTTGGGTGCAGGCGCTCAACATACCATACCCCACCCTGGACTAAGGACCACGCCAGCTTCCGCAATGCGCTATGTCCCTCTCTAAACTAGCCAACCCGTGCGCACCTCGTGCTCACTCCATATTCGCCCGGTGCCTACTCTGTGGCAACCCCTGATTGGCTACAGCTGGGTATAGTAGCCAGAGCCTGCGTCCCATTCCCGCCCTGCTTCCTCGTGGCGGCCTGTGATTGGTCATGGCCGAATATATAAACCAGAGCCCGCCTAAATTAAGCGGCAGTTCCTGTTACCCAAAAGAGCGTCCTCTGTCTCATTGGGGGGCCGCGCTGGTCAAGCCCCAAACAAACAAATTTTGAAAAAGCAAGAAACAGCCCCTCCCTGTTCCCACCAACTGGAGAAATAGGCTCCTCCCTCCCTTCAACCAGTCTTTCTACACACCCAACAGTTGAGAAGCACTTTGGAGGTCTGGAGGCTGGGAGAGACTTGGATGGATAAGGGTAGGGGTACCGGGTTCCCCTGGAGCACGGCTGGAGAGTAGCATTCCTGTGCTGTTACAAGAAGGGGATTTTCAGGCTGCCCCTCCCCGGTGCTCAGGGCCCAGTCAGAGGGGTGCTTTCTCAGCCCCTCCCTCCCCCTGCCACCCTCTCCTTCCTCTCCCCCCTCTCTTCTGCTCCCTCCCCTTCGCCTTCTCAAGGTATCAAACCTTAACCAAAGGGTCCAAGTGCAAACTTTTTCAACAAACTTTGAGTAAATAATGCTTTTGGGGGATGACTTTAAAATTCTTTTCTTTTTCTTTTTTATTGGTGTGAATTTGCACAGCTGAGGTTCAAGGAAAAGACATAATTTGCATTATTTTCAGGTCACATAATATTCTTTCAGGTAGGTAATATTCTTCATTACATCTCCTGGTGATTGCTGTAACACAAATTTTTTTGAGGCAAGGTCTCACTATGAAGTTCAGGCTGGCCTCTATTTTAGGTGATCCTCCTGCCTCATCTGCAACCCCACTTGCCTTCTCTAAGTAATTTTTCCAGTACCGAGAACTAAATCCAGAGCCTTCTCACTGAGCTACATTTCCAATCTTTTTAAAATTTTTACTTTGAGACAAGGACTCATTGGTAAGTGGCCCAGACTAATCTTAGCCCAACAACCCTCTTGCCATCGCTTCTTAGAATGCTGGGGATAGGGGCATGGGCCACCACACTAGGTTATTTTACACATAAGGAAGGAAGGGGCTTGGCAGTCTCTGGGTTGTCCTTTGGAATGAGGAAGGGTGTGGTCAGGGTTAGAAACCTCGGGGTGGCTGGGTGGGAATGGAGAGCAGAGTCAGGGAACACAAGAGGGGGCGAGGGGGCGGGGACCAGGCAGCAGAGTGTGTGTGTGTGGGGGGGGGGCAGAGCTGCTGGGAGGCCAGGGAACTGAGGAGGGGGAGTGTAAGGGGTCTGAAGGTGGGAAACTGGACTTCCTGTTCGCTGGGTGCGGGTGGAGGAAGGGTAGAGACAGGTAGGGCTGACCTTGTGGGCCTGGAGCTGGGCCACTACTGACCTGCAAAGAAAGGAAACTCAGGTCTGACCAGCAACTGCTGAAATTGAGAACTTCCCTGATGCTTTTCCTAAATCTGAGTCCTCACATCCTTACAGAGAGTAAACTGAGGCTCAACAGAGAGGAAGGTTACAGCCAGATAGCCCATCTGAGTCCACGCCTCCCTGACCCAATCTTGGGGTCTTGCTGCTGGACTTCGAATCTTGAATTTCATGAGTCCTGAAACAACCATCCCTGATGGCTTATTCTCCTACCAGAAAAATAAATGCATATATGGGTGAAGTACACCGGACTACAAAGCCCAAAGGAATCTTTGTGGCAGTAGGGACAGCTGAATCCTGACAGTGTTACCACGTGGCCCAAGTTGAGCTCGAACTCAACAACCCTCCTGCCTCAGCTTCCTAGAGGACTGAGATTACAGGCATGGGCCACCATACCAGGGTATTTTATATATTAGGGAGGCAGGGGCTTGGCAGACTGATTTGTCTCTTGGAAGCCTTTGTTGGAAGTCTTGAAACAACATGAATATGCTCACTCACCCGTGTAAATAATAATAAATAAATATAATGATTCTACTTTGGTTGAACAAAGAATTGTAGCAGTTTGTGGTTGAGCCAGTGGAAAAATATGAATGGCTCTTAGATGAGATATTGAGAAATTTCAGTTAATTTGTTAAGGAAATGCACCTTTCCTTGTATTTAGATGATTAATGAAATATTTAAAAATGAAACATGATATTCACTGTGTGTGTCTGTGACTAGGAATTGAACTCAGGACCTTTGCACTGAGCTATATCACCAGTTCGTATTTATTTAGAGACAGGGTCTAGTTCAGTTACTCACCATCCTCCTGCCTCAGCCTCCCTGAAGCTCCCAGAGTGCTGGAGTTACAGATGTGTGCCATCACTCACAGCTGATACACAAAACTTTTAATTTTTTAAATATTCAAAGGACGGGGAAGGAACAGATGACATGGCAGAACACCAAAACTCTTGAAGCTGGGTGAAGGCCAGCTGTAAGTTTATTGTCTCTCTTTGGGTCTGTTAGGAAATTTCCAAATGGATGGCCTCGAGCTGTAACTCAGGTGGCAGAGCCCCTCCCCAGCACTCTTGAGAGCCCAAGTTCAGTCTTCAGTGCAGCAAGAATTTGGCGTTTATTGCACACAGTTTGGAAGCTACAGAAAACTTTTTTAAAAGACAAAGGCTTTCCCCCACCCATCGTGGTGTATTTCCATGGCTTTCCTATTCTACACAGGCTTTCTATATGTCCTTGTGTGTGTGTGTGTGTGTGTGTGTGTGTGTGTGTGTGTGTGTCTGTTCTACATAACTGTGTGAGGAAATTGTTTACGCAGTCCCATTTTCTCCCCCCTTCTTAAAATGTAAGCTGCTCCCCTCTTAAAATGTCTCTGTGTAAACACAATCTCTAATGTTTGCACTCTGTTTACTCAACAGGGCAGCCTTGCCAGACTTGAAGCTGTTCCCAATTTCCTCTCATTATAAATAATGCGCCCATGCACATCCTTGTGCGTCCCGAGGCGAGATTCCTGGGCCAAAGGGTGCGGATGCTTTGGCAGCGCCTGATCAAATCTCGGCAGAGTCACTGCATGACCCCCAGCTAAAGTGACTTCATATGGTTAAAGTGAGATTACGCTGCTATTTGTTATTTCTATGTTTGATTCATGACTCAGGTTTGAGAAAGGATGTCTCCCCCTTTCCTTTTGGATGTGCTCAGTTGTAGGAACAGAAAGCCATTCGCACTGTCTCATGCCTGAAAGGATTCTTCAGCAAGTAGAGTTGATGCAGTAGCTCTTCCTCATCTGATGGGGATGAGTTTTAAGACTTCCCTCCCACCACCATCTTGGATACCTGAAACTGCAGATAGTGACAAACAAAGGCTATACAGAACCTCTGTAATGAGACAACTAACCTGAGAGCCCTGATGGACAGGCAGTGTATACTGCATGGATACTCTGGATAAAGGGGTAATTCACATTCATGTTTGCTGGACTGGGAAGATTATGTGAGATTTCATCATTGCTATTCAGAATGCCATATACTTTGAAACTTATGGATTATCTTCTTATATAATTTTTTGGGCAGTGCTGGAGATTGAACCCCAAGCACTTTACACTGAGCTTTATCTCCAGGCCTTTTAATATTTTATTTTGCGATAAGACCTTGCTAAATCACTGAGTTGCCCAAGCTGGGTTTGAACTTTCCATTGTCTTGCCTCAGCCTCTCAGAGTGCTGGGATTACAGGTGTGTGTCACCAGGCACAGCATAGAATTTTTTATTTAATACTTATTAAACTGTGGTTAACTACAGGTCATTGAAACCAAGGACTGTGAAAGGGGAGACTCCTGTTTTTAGCTTGAACAAGCTCTCTTGGCTATGTTGTTGATTGTCAAAGTACTAAAGTATTTCTGTATTGACTGGTAAATTGTGCTCCCTGAAGTCCTCTAAATGTCCCCTGTCATGACTATTCTGGCTGCCCCGTCCCCGTCCCCATCCCCGTCCCTGGATTTTTCAGACTTCCCCTCAATGCAGCAAGGAAAGGGTAAATAAATGTTGGATGTAGTGTTAAACTATTCTATAGTTCAGTTTCCAAAGAAAGCACTGGTTGTCAAATATTTTGATGATTTGTCTAGTAACAGAAAAGCTGACTCCAATGGCTTAAACTGACAGGAAGTTTATAGCTGGAAAATCCACGCTCCAGCTGGCTTCAGTCATGGTAATTGACACAACAACTCAGCAATGTCACCCAAAACCCCATTCGTTTTCATCACCCTGCTTCATCTTTTCCAGTAGGAGTTCCCAAGATGGTCGCCACCAGCCTCCTGCCACAGGAGCCTCCTCTATCCCACAGGCAGAGGGCCACCTTTGCCTCAGATTTCCCACTGAAGTAACGAACTTCTGCTGCACCTAGGAGGAGCACATCAAAATCAAGAAGAAGCCAATTTTATTTTCCTGTAAGCCTTGCAAGCCATGTGGGGCCTAGGAAGAGAGAAGCCAGATGACTTCTCCAGTGAGCCAACCTGCACGGGCTGAGAATCAAGGTCCTCCCTCCCCCAGCAACAGGCTGATTCAGGGGACAGGCTGAGTTGATAGTAACTGAGATACAAAAACAACCGAGTGCTTGTATTGTTTGATTGACTTTGCAGGCTGAGCATCTATCAGGATACCGGTATGCAATATAGCAAATATAGGGCATTTCCTTTTGTCCTATTTTTGAAATCCAATATTGTTCCCATTGTTTTGTTTTGTTCTATTTATTGTTTTGCTTTATTCAATGTTCTGTTTTGATTGGTTTTATTCTGTTTTTTTATTTGATTTTACTGTGTCTGACGGAATGAACAACTACTGTGAAGACAAGATATACTATAGTAGCTATTGTTAATTTCCTGTTACCCTGCTTAAAAGTTCTGTACCATTTTCACTGTTTTGATTGGCTTTATTCTGTTTTGTTGGTTTTTATTATCTTTAAAATAAAAAAAAAATAATGAGGCTGACTCTGATTGGACCAGCTGAGATCACATGCTCATGTTAGACCAAATCACTGTGGTGGAGGGGAGTGAAGGGAGGTAACTAAGTAATATTCCATTGGTTGAGCAAAGTCACATGTTTCTCACTATTAAAGTGGGTGGTTAACAGAGGGCTGCTGAAGCCATACCTAAGTTTAAATACCCTTAGCCAATTCCTGTCTTCCATGCCCTGTTTCCTGCCAATAAAACAGATTATGACTCTGGCTTCCTGGAGTTGCTATTTGGGTTAAACGAGTTAATGCACAGCTCCTAGTATTGTATTCCTACATAGAAAGGATTTCAGTGTTAGCTGCTGTTACTGTCCTTACTTGGTGGGTGTTGTTAGGGGTTGTACACAAAGAACAATTAAGATCAGGACATGGAGTTTATAATATTATTTTTATAATGGTCACTGGAAGTTAACACAGGAAAATGCAGGAAATCTATCCGCAACACCAAAGACATAGAATATTTAGTCAAGGGCCTAAATCCCATAGCAATGTCCCACATGAGTCCAGATAAAAACCCAGAACTCATGACAATGCTTCTCACGAATCCAACTGGAGGTCCAGAGCCCACAAGAAGGACTCACACCAGTCTCTTTTACGGATCCGTTCTGGTCAGCAATGGAAGCCAGAAAGTCTATGCTAGCAGAGTGAAGGAGCTGTGCTAGTGGGATGAGGGTTCTATGCTGGAGCCGTGAAGTCACACCCACAACAAAGAGCAGGGCTGTCCTGAAAAGTACCACAGCCATCCTCAGCGACACAGAGGCCCTGAGCTCCTCCAACGACAAGCACAGTCAGGTACATGCCAGGAAGCAGCATGACGAGTTCATCCTAGAGACCAAGTGGCACATGTCTTCCCCTCCAGAGCCAGGAAGCAATGCTCGATGTGAGGACCAGGCTTCTGCAGGAGAACCAAAGGCTCAAACAGCAATATGTAGGAGAACCCACAATGCTACAACGCCTCAACCCTCAACACCTCCCTTCTTCTCCACCAATTTATGCTGGCAACTTTCCTCAGGTGGAGCACCTTCACTCAGTGCCATGCTGATGTAACCCAGCTGGCGTTAAGTTGACCACCAGTTCTTAATCCATAACAGTGGGTTTCTGCCCTCCAAGTTGCTTTTCCTGCAAGCTCCTTTTTTGTACCCCAGCCTGTTTCTAGTTATCATTGCTGGGTAACAAATCAACTCCTAAACACAACAGCGTACTGTTCTCTCAACTTGGATGTGGTCAGGTTTTGGGGCTGGGCCCAGATGGGTAGTTCTGAATTGGAATTTAATGATTGCAGTCATCTGGGGGCCAAGGCTGGGCCAGGGAAGCAGCTGGGATCTGAGTGGGTCTCTCTCTCTCCCTCCATGTTGACTCAGGGTTTCTCCATGTGGCCTCTAAGTGTGGGCTGATGTGCGCTCCCTCATGGCACAGCGTCCTCAGGGAAGCTGGACTTCGTGCCAGCCCTACTTCTCGATAATGGGAGTGTTGAGATTCTAGAAGAATATGTGGGATGGGAGACATTGTGGCAGCCATCTTTGGAAATTACTCACAATCTAGCTCCTGCTTGATGGATTCAAATCTCATTGATGGGAAGGAGTGAGCTGGGCTATATAGTGAGGTCAAGGCCAGCCTGAGACAGCAAAACCCTGTCTCAGACAAACAAAAAAATCTCATCAATATAACTTGGCACCATACACCTGAGGAATAGCCAATTGCCAGTTATAAATGGAAATGTTTTACTAAGTAGTCTCGACAGCTTGGGTTTGAAACAGAATCCCTGGTTTCCTTTGTTTTTATTGATCCCCCTCTCTGTAAATTAATCCCCTCCCACTAGATAAAGACTACTGGGAACCTTAAAGACCATTTCACAGGATTACCTACTATATTTCTCATTTTCACTGATATTTTGTTTTGTTTTTTGAGGTAGGGTCTCACTTTGAGGTATAAGCTGACCCTTGAACTCACTATATAGCTCTGGCTGGCCTCAAACTTATGATGATCTCATGCGTCAGTGTTCAGGCCTGGGGTTAATCCTTAATATCATAAAACAAAACATATAGAATTATTATTCTTAGAGGATACATGTACATGTTGAAATATTTAGGGATCAAGTATTAAGACAGTTGAGCAAATGCTTATGTGGCAGTTTTTAGAGAAAGGGGAGGGAGGGACACTTCCTTTGTCTGCTTTTCTGGATTTTGTGGTTGCTGTTTTGGTTTGATTTAGGTCCTGGGGAATGAACCCAGGACCTCTATACTGAGCTACATCCCCAACCACTTTTTATATTTTTATTTTGAGATAGCATCTCACTAAGTTGCTCAGGCTTGAGGTCTTCCTGCCTCAGCCTCCCAGAGTTCTGGGATTTCAAGCTTGTACCACTGTCCCTGACAAGGGAGAGGGAACAAATATTGTAAAATATTAATACATGCTGCTTCTAATGTGGAGTATATGGGAAGTTATTGTACTAGTCTTTCAACATTTCCATACACTTTAATTTTTTTCATAACAAATATTTGAAGTAAGAAAATTTAGGATCCTATAATCCCAGCACTCCAGAGGCTGAGGCAAAAGAATTGCTTTGAGTTTGAAGCCAGCTTGGGCTACATAGTAAGCTTGAGGCCAGCCTGAACTACATGGTAAGACCTTGTCGCAAAAAAAAAAAAAAAAAAAAAAAAAAGACTTAGACTGAAACCTGACTCACGTTCATGCTGTCAAGAGCTCCCCTCTCCCCGCTCTCATTTCCCCAGACAGGCTGACATCCCTTCTCCTCTCCATCCTCCTTGGTGCCAGCCTGTGTCCTACACCTAAATTCTTTGGGTAGCTGGGGGGTTCCCATAGCAGCGATCTTGAACTTAGACTCTAGGATCATTGGCAATTTTGTTCTTATGGGTGAATATTTTTTTTTTTATCTTTTTTGAGATGGGGTCTCACTAGGCAGTTTCTGGCTGGCCTTGAGCTCACTTTGTAGCCCAGGTTGGTCTCGAACTCACAAAGATCCTCCCACCTCAGCCTCTCGAGTGCTGGGATTACAGGCGTGAGCCACCACACCCGGCTGGCAATTTTGTTCTTGATTACAGTGGGCCTTAGTAGTAATTTTGGAAGAAAATCCTAGGAAAAATCCTGTTTGATACCCAACTATGGAACCCTGAAGTGTAGAGATGCTGGAGATGATTCAAGTCACCAAGGCAGACAGAAAATCTGCGGTTACACTATGACACGTGCAGGTGGTAAACACATCCCCAACAAAACATTTTTTTTTTTTTTCTGTACTGGGCAGTGAGCTCAGGACATTTGCATTGAGCTATATATCCCCTACCCTTTTTATTCACTTCATTTATTTACTTATTTTTGAGATAGGATCCCCCCCCCCCCCCCGTAACCGGGGATCGAACCGCCTGCTTGCAAGGCAGGTGCTTATGCTGCTGAGCTAAATTCCCAGCCCCTTGACATACGATCTTGCTAAGTTAGTAGGGTGCCCAGGCTGGGCTGGAACTTTGAACTTTACCTTGACTTTTTTCTCTTTCCTTTCCTTTTCTCCCCACCCCCCCCCCGCCCCTGTTTCTATCTTTTTCAGACTGGGTTGAGCTATGCAGTTCAGGCTGGCCTTGAACTCACTATGTAGCCCAGGCTGTCCTTGAACTCACAGTGATCCTCCTGTCTCAGCCTCTCAAATGCTGAAATTACAGGTGTGTACCACCATGCCTGGCTACAAAAGAATTTTTGATATTATTAAAGTCTTTGAGAGTCTCTTCAGCTGGACGTGGTGGCACACACCTGTAATTCCAGCACTCAGGCTGCTGAGAGAAGATTGCTGTAAATTCAAGGCCAGCCTGAACTACATAGCAAGACCCTGTCTCAGAACAAAACAAAAACAAAACACGACTAGGAGGAAAAGAAGCCCCCCCCCCCCCGTGTAAAATGAAGTAATAGGTATTGAGTAGGAGACTTGTAGGAAGGATTCTATGCCCCATACTCCAATCTGGTGCCCTCTGTCCCACTGTTCTGAGAGTGAAATGTGCACCCCAACCACCCATTCCCAAGCCAGCCTGACCCATTTCCCATGTGCCTCTGCTTCTTTGGGGAAGCCAGGACCACGTTGAACAGATGGGCCCAGATGGGGCATTGTGTGGGCACCTGAATGCCCACCCCAACCTGTCTTTCTGAGCATCCCTAGTGTGTCCTGCTCCGGCCCTGCCCGGCCCCTCCACAGAGCTCCACCATGCACTGCAGCATCCTCAGGACAAACCTGTTTTTGAAGGCCTGGCAAGCTCTGCTGTGTGGACCAATCCTTATGTTCAGATTTCTCTGTTGACATGTTCATTCTGGTATTCAGTTTCCTTTACTGAAATACTTCCTGTGGTCTCGGTCACGCCTTGTTTTTGTTTTTGTTTTTTTTATGAGAGAGGGTCCTGCTCTGTAGTTCAGGCTGTCCTCGGCCTTGAACTCTCTGTGTAGCCCCAGGTAGCCTCAAACTCATCAGCCTCCTTCCTTGGCCTCTGGGATTCTGTCATCCCAGGTGTGTTCCACCATACCCAGCTCAGTTTCTTTTCTGTGTGTGTGTGTGCTGGGGACTGAACTCAGGGCCTTCATTCTGAGCTGTATCTCCATCCTTTAAAATTTTTTTTTATTTTGAGATGCAGTCTCACAAAGTTGCCAAGTTGCCCAAGTTGGGCTCAAACTTATGATCTGCCTGCCTCAGTCTCCCAGGTGTGCATCACTATGCCTGACTCGGTTTCTGTTTGCGAGTCTGCAGAGCAGCGTGTCCTTCCTAAACTGGGACTCTCTCCTTTCTCTCCTTCCCCTCTGTTGCCATCATGGTCACCCCAGGCTGCATCAAGAGTTCCATCCCCGCCCAGAATCTTAAGCCAGGAAGGTGGGCAATGGGAAAGACACTTTCTCTCATTTTCAGCCCTACCCGTGGGTAAAACCTGCTGACTTCAAGCCAAGCCCGGTGGTGCATACTATAATCCCAGCACGAGGAGGCTGAGGCTGGAGGATTGTCATGAGTTTGAGGCCATCCTGAACTACATAGTGAGACACCGTCTCAAAAACCAAAACAAACAAACAAGCAAAAAGACATGCTGGCTTCTATAATAGATACTTCCCCACCTGAACCTTTCAGTTGTGAAGTTTCTAAACATGGAAAATAGTTGCCAAAACACTCTACAAGTTATATTTATATAGTACTGGTATACACTCACCACTTTTTGTTTTGTTTTGGTGTCAGGAATCAAACTCAGGACTTCATACTTACCAGGTAGTTGCTGCACCACTGACCTATACTGCTGGCTATTCACCAAATTTTTTTTTTTCGTTTTTATCGGTACCAGGGATCGAACTCACGACTCCCTGCTTGCAAGGCAGGCGCTTATGCCGTTGAGCTAAATCCCCAGCCCCTCTATTCACCAATTTTCAACAATTACCCGTATCTCTCCCCTTCCCTAGCTATCTATTCTTATCGAGATAGTGTAAATATGTGGGCTACATGGGCATGGATAACTACTTGGGCTTTAGGACGTAAGCTACTATATTGCTACCTATAAGCAGTTCTCAAGGGGATCACTGTCTTTCTCTTTAGACATGTGTCCAGATAGAAAGAATGAGACCCATTTTGAACATTTCTTTTTCTTTCTTTCATTCTTTGTGTGTGTGTGTTTTAAGAAAGAGTCTCACTATGAAGTTCAGGCTGGCCTTAAGCTCACTTTATAACCCAGGTTGCTCTCAAACTCAAAACAATCTTCTTACCTCATCCTCCTGAATGCTGAGATTTTGGGAGTGTGATGGCAGGCCTAGCTATTTTGACAATTTCATGCAGTTATTTTGTGAAATTTCACCCCAAATATTGTAGCACACTTGGGCCAAGAACAAGGGCATTCTCCTGTATACACACAACAACATTATCACACCTAGAAACTTGAGTTAGTGAGTGTCTTGTGGGAACCCCAACTTGTGCCACGAATGTCCTTGACATGGTACATTGCTTCCTCCTAGTCTCTGCGCAGCTCACGCCCTTCCTGGGCCCTGTTTCTCCTGCTGTGCTCTGAGCCATCTCCCTCCCTCTCCTGGGAACCCTGCAGCATCCTCTCAGGATGCCCGCTGCCTACTCTGTACTAACCCTGACCCGTTCTCCTTAAGGCAACTGGAGCAAATCTTATTGTCTTAGTCATCTTCTTTGTCACTGAGCCTCTACACCTGGCACCTACACCTTAAAGAGGAGATTTATTTCTGCTCGTGTTTCAGTCCACGATCAGGTCAGCTGACTCCAAGGCAGGACAGCATGGCACAGGGCGTGGTGGAGGAACAGCTGCTCACCCGATGGTGACAGGAAGCACAGAGTGTCACAGAGGAGGCAGGAAGAGAGATGGCCCCTTCCAGGTCATAATCATACCCTCTTTTTCTGATCAGACCCTACCTCAGCTGTGGCACCCAAATAATCCATTGCCCCTGCAGAAGCCCCAACCTCTGAGACATCCAGATGCAAACCGGAACATTCACCAACCAATCAGCTCGAGTCTCCTTGCTGAGAGCCCTGCTGAGGCACTGCTGCATCATTGGTAGACAAGAAGGTAAACTCCTATGGCTGCTTCCAAGGCCCAATGGATGTGGCCCACTGTACTGCCCCACCTCACCTCTGATAACCATCATGGCCTCTGCAGCCCAGGCTTGTTCCCATCTCAGAGCCTTTGTATTGGAGGCTTCCCCTGACACGGCCATGATGCCTCGCTTCAGTCAGGTCTGCCTGAATGTTATTGTCTTAGGGACCATCCTCTTCCATCACTCCGGCTCTTTCCCATGCTTCAGTGGGCTTCACGACACAGCCCAGGCAAGCACTGCGCACACAGCTCTTTCCTCTCATTAGGGTATCAGCTCCTACTGAGCTCAGATGAACAGGGATTTTGTCTTTGCCTCCACTCCTCTGTTATATTGTTGGGTCCTGGAACACTCCCTAGCAGATGGTAGGTGCTCTATAAATACTTGTGGACACTATGTTTTCGCCTCTTGTTGCCCCAAGGAGAACCTGAGTTCCCTGCAGGGAGGGTGTGTGTGTATCTCTGTAGCCTCCACATTCAACAGCTGATAAAAAGAAGTATTTGGGAAATGCTTCTAAAATGGAAAGAATCACCATGTTACAGAAAATAGATCAGCGCCTGCCTGAGGCTGGGGGTGGGACTAGGGATTGACTGCACACGGGCAACAGACGTCTTTATAGCATTGACGTTAATGTTCTAAAACTGAATCATGGTGATGGCTGCTCATCTGTGAAATCGCCCCAAATTGTTAAGTCACTGAAAATGTTTTATGATAAATACCTCAATAAAGCTGTTAAGCAAAACAAAATAAAATGTGTGTAGGGGGGTAATACCCTGGGGATGCTGTTCTACTTAGGAAGCAAGGCGAGGCAGGTTGTTCTGAGCCTCCCTCGGTGACTGGCCCTGGGTGATGTGGGGACAGAGTGGTGACCCTGACTACCCTGGTCCCTACATTCGCACTGCTTCCTGTGTGGAGGTGGGAAAGCCGAACCTATTGCAGACAGTGACAGGCTAGAGGGGCCAAGGATGGGCCGGGACAGGAGGGCGCAGGCGGAGGGTCGGGGATGAATTTGGGTGGGGTGGGACCAGAGCCGAGGGCCTGCGTGGGACCCGGAGGCGCAGACAGAGCACAGCAGCCCAGATGCCCAGAGGCGGCGCCTGATCCATCTAGGAGGACTTCCTAGAGGAGGACTAATTGCCTTCCTATGCTGGGGTCTGGCTAACAGCCCAGCCAAGAACCGAGCTCTTCGGGCGCCGCCCGCCCGGGCCGCCAGGGGCCGCTGCAGCCCCGGCTGCAGTTCCACCTCGCGGGCCCATCGCGCCGCCTCGTGGGACGCGGCGTCCCGGCACCCGTCACTGGGAGAGACGACGCTGGCACAGGGAACTCTACCGGCCTATGCAACAAAGATGTCAAGGGCGGGCAGGTGGCCCGACTCTGTCCCTGACGGCTTTGTGCCCTCGGTGACTGTTAGCTGGAATCGTCCCTGTCTCACTTCTCGGCCCTTTCTGTCCTGGTCCCTGTGACTCGCAGAAGCGAGCACCTGATCATGTCTCTTTCGTGCCTGGCCAGCCAGCGCTGGGACACTGAGGCGATGGGACAGCCCAGGGCCCTCTGCGCCCCTTCTCCCATCCAATGGGGGCAGACAGTGGGAGTGTGCCAGGGCCTGGACAGGGTGGGTCCCGGTGGATGGAGAGGCACAGGCTCCACGGAGGGCAGGAGGGGGTCAGCCTGAAGGGTCAAAGAGCCTGAGACTCAAAGGACAGGATGGGGCACAGGGGACTTTGAAGAAGATGTTGAACTGATGCTGGAGGAAATGATCACTATCCTCTGCAAGGTCCACCACTGGCAAAGGTTAGATGAAGTGACACAGGCAAAGCCTTAGAGGTGACACAGCAGGGCTCACCTCTAGCAGAGCTCTCTGCCCCTTCCCTGAGGACCACACACACACACACACACACACACACACACACACACACGCACGCACGCACGCACACATGCACAGTCCCTGAGAGCTGGAAGTCATGGGTCCCCCAGTCCTAGCTCCTGAGCAGACTAATAGGCTCTAATGAGAACTCTTGGGGACCCTATTTAAAACCCCCTCTTCCATCAGGCGTCCTGACCTTGGGCTAATGACTATACTTGCTTAGCTATCAAATGAAGACAGAATATTGAGTTGTATAAAATCATCCATCTCACTTTAAAGAGCTATAAATAATTAAACATGTAATTTATGTCAATTTGTAGTACTGAGGATGAACTCAGGAGCACTAAACTGTATTCTCAGCTTTTAAAATAATACGAGGTAGGGTTTCCTTAAGTGGTGCAGGCTGGGTACAAATTTTCTGGGTACTTCCAAGTAGCTGGGATTACAGGTGAGTGTTGTCATGCTTTTTTTTTTTTTTTTTTTTTTTGGTCTTTATGAGACAGGGTCTATGTAGTGAAGGCTGCCAAGTGAACTTGCAACCATCCTCCTGCCTCAGTCTGCTGATTGCTGGGATTACACTATACATTTTTAAAAACACATAGATTAAATCAAGGAATCCAAGAAACAACAGAGACTTCAAGACAACATGCTGCCATTTCAGGTGAGGTTTCAAGCCTGTTACAGAAAAATGTAACTGCTAAGAATTCGCCAGCATGGTCTAAGACACAGTTACTGATCTAATTCTTGTTTTGTACATGGAGTTTCACTTGGTAGTCTAGGCTGTCTTCAAACTCCTGTGCTCAATAAATCCTCCTGCCTTGTTCTCCCAAGTAGCTGAGACTGCAGTTATGTGCCTCTGCACCTGATCTAGATTGCGGGTAACTCTGCAATTAGTGGTAGTTTAGAATTTGTTTTTTATTCCTTAGTTCAAACTCTGTAATAGAAACAGGATAATTAATTCTGGGCTCCCTTTCGTACCAAGTGGTGTGCTGAGACAGCAGGACCTGTTCCCGAGCTATGACTCAGCTGATTGCTCAGGGGGACCCTTTTCCTATTTTAGAGGATGACTCAGGAGGAAAGGCTCTGAGGCCATACCGCCCCTCCACACACCCTCATGCTCTCCTGAGGGGTACCATTATAGTTATCCTTTATTGGCTGTCCTTGTATAATACAAATCTGCGAGTTTGGATACAAAAAAAAATCTGGAAATAAAAGATAGAAAAGTACCCGCCAGGCACCCCTTCCCCTCTTCTGGGACCACCTCCCAGCGGGCACTGGTGTGAGGTAACTGAGCATCTTTTTTCCTCCCCCTCCCATACTTCCTGGGCCCCCAACTTGGCCCCTGCCCCCATGAGACCTTGGACCCCAGAAGACACAGCCCCAGATGGGGCAGGCAGTGGGGAGTAGAGCATTGGCAGTGAACGGCACGGGCAGAGGGAAGCCCTTGGCTTGTGCTGTGTATATGGGGAGGAGACCCTGCACTTGGGGTGGGCACTCATGTGGGGCCCAGGAGAGCCTCTAAGTGGACGTTCCCCCTCTATCCTGCCCAACATCAGGAGGTGGAAGGTGAAAACTAGGAAAGGGAGCTTGGGAGGGCATTCCATGGGACCTTGGCCATCCCTGTGGGGGTGGAGGTGGGGCATCATCGGCCCGAGTCTGGCAGTGAAATGGCTCCCTTAGCCAGGCTGGGTCTGTCCCTGAATGCCAACCTGCTGCACCCTGGGCACTGCTATGTCGGTTCTGTAGTAGTTTTGTGGGTAGTGGAGAGAAGGGTTAAGAGAGGATGCTGAAGGGCACAGCCCCAGGAAGCAGGACTGTGGGGGGCTGTGCCTCCACCCCCAGGTGCTACATCTGGGGATGACGGGGTGAGCTGGGCAGCTCGGGCTACAGTTCAATCTCAAAAGTCTTCTGCAGGTCACCAGAGAAGGGGTTGGAGGGCTTCTCCACAGCGGGCTTGCCCTCTAATGCTGCCCACTGGGCCTCAAAGGGGTCCAATTCAGGGGCTGGAGCAGGCGCTGGCTCTGGAGGCCAGGGGGCCCCGTTGGGGCGAGGACGGGCCTGACCCACAGGAGCACTGGGTGTGGCAGGAGGTGGGAAGGCCCCAGCTTTTCCCAACAGAGTGGAAGGCTGAGGCTGGAGCTGGGCAGCAGAGCAGAACGCGTTGGCCACCATCTGTGAGGGGGTGATGCCCACCACGGGGACCTGGGGCATGGGTGGGTAGCCCAGGCCCGGGTAGGAGGGCACAAATGGGGGCTGCATGTGTGAGGGTGGCAGGAACATGGCCACCTGGGCAGGGGCTGTGTCGAAGGGCCCCATAGGGGCAGGGAAGGGCTGCAGAGCAGGTGGCATGGTGGGAACTGGGGGTACTGAGGTTGTTTGCTGCTGTTGCTGCTGCTGTTGCTGCTGCTGCTGCTGCTGCTGGGCCTTGGCCACCTGGGATACCTCCTCTAGCCATCGCTCAGCCTCCGAGGGTGTCCGCTTGTGCCCAGACTGGAAGGCAGCTGCAGGTTGTGCAGAGGGCTCACCCCAAGCAGAAGTTCCTGGAGAGAAGAAAGGGGCAGGAGAGAGGTGAAGGCTGCAGCAGGGAACTGGAATGGACCGGGGATGAGAGGACTGATGCTGTGTCCACCTCTGACGGGGGCACCGCAGGGTGTCTGGCTCAGTGACAGGGTGGAGTTACCTGTTGCGGCAGATGGTGGCCCTGTTGGTGCTCCAGCACTGGCAAAGGATGAACTGATCTGTGTGCACAGGGCATTGATGCCATCGCTGTCGCTGGCACCAGGAGGTTCCATCTCGGGCACTGGGGGAGTCAGGGAAAAGGAGAGGTTGGCAGACAGGCCCGGCCCCAGTATGCCTGCAGTGGCCCTCTCTGCACCCCCGGCTCCTTTCCTTTCCCTTTCTATCTGCAAGTGTGGCTCCCAAGACTGTGAATCCAGGTGTGTGGGTCAGCAGGTCACTGGGTGATCATGGCCACGAATATGGCATCTGAGTGGTACAATGGCCAACTCAGTAAGTGACATGTGATGGCTGACAGTAACAGGGACCCAAACCAATGACCTGAAGATCTGTGAGTGGCCACAGACTAGAAGAGATGCTTAAAATGTACCATCTTACCAAATAAGCAAAGGACTGTCGTGTGTGGTATGTGACAGTCTGTGACATTTCAGGAACTAAGATGGTATGCAGGACGCCCTCATGGGCATCGGAAAGAAGTGGCTAGGGAATCACTGGGTCTGATAGGAGGGCCCAGGCTGGGGGATGTGGTGTCCAAGTCACTGTCCACGTTGACTGTGTCTGTCCAAACAGGCATGGGGTGTGTGAGGTGCAACCTGTGCGACTGACGTTCAACTGTGTGCTTCTGCCTGTCTGATGGAGTGTGCAAGTGAGTGTGGATCTATCTGCAAGTGTGGCTCCCAAGACTGTGAATCCAGGTATGTGGTCCTTGAGTGCAGGGGAGATTGCTGTGTGTCCATGGCTCTAAACTGATGGTTTCCAAGTGTGTGCGACATGTGTGTCAGAGGGTAACATCAGTGTGAGATTGAAAGTTCCATGTGGGAAGTTGCATCTCGACAAGTGTGTAGCTGGCTGCCGGGGTATGAGGCTCCCAAACAGAGCCTGAGTAGCAGCTAACTCTCAGGGTGCGTGTGTGACGGCTCCGGTGTGTGCACTATGACAGACAAGGAGACAGTGTGACAGGCAAGGAATGCTGTAGGATGTGGAGCGAATGTGTCATTCTCAACACATGTGGAAACTGCTCCACTGTTACCTTTGGAGCAGCTGAGCCTGCTGGATACAAATCAACGCCCTCCCACCTCAGTCCTCACAGCCATAAGAGGTAGGGTGTCCGGATTTGGCATATGATGTGGGAGGTGGGCCAGACTGCATGGTTTCCTGGACTGCTGAGGGCAGGCAGCCCTCTTACCTGTCTCCTTCAGTCAAAAATATCGTGGTATCTCTCTCCTCCTTCTGGCTCGTGGCAGACACTGCTTTTTAGGTCATGACATATGCCATCTGTCTCCTCTCCTTGGCCCACGGCAGACATTAATAATCAAACACAAAGCTTATTTTCCTCACCAAGCTCTCTGCTCACTTTACCCCTTCCCTGGCCAGATCACACGGCTCCACTCGACCTCTCCTGTAACACCTCCCTGCTCTCTTCTCTCTTGCCCATGGAAAACTTTGCTAATTATTCATGCGGTGTGCCACTCTTTCCTTTTGCCCATGACACATCCCTCTCTCCTCCCTGCCCTAGACAGGCATTGCTAATCCATTACAATTCTTTCCTGGACCTAAGGAGTACTTTTATCCATTAACTGCCAAGGTCTCATAATCCTACCGATACAGTGCTTGGAAGAAGCATCAGTCTATTTCTGTGCTTTTCCTCCTTCCCTTGCCTGCAGTAGATGTAGTGGCCTACAGCAAATCTTGCTAATTAATCATGACGTACAACATCTTGTTATTGTCCCTTTACCAGAGCAGACAATGCCAACTGATCATGATTCATGCTACCTTTCTGCTATTCTCCTGCCAAGAGCAGACATGGCTAATCAATCACAATTTGTGTTACCTTTCTTCTATTCCTTGCCCAATGCCAGACATTGTTTAATCATGGTGTGTTCCACCTGTCTATCCTTTGCCCCTGGCAGACAGTGCTAATCAATCACAAGTATGTACCGCCTCTTCTCTATCTCTTATTCACTTAAGACAATGCTGATCCTTATGTCCATGCTTACTGAATCCAAAGCTCACCTGTACCCTTCACCTGGAAGTCGGTGCGCCGCTGCAGAGTAGATGGCAGCTCATTCAGCCGTAGGCTCAGCTGCCGTTTGAAAGGTGAGTTCTTCTGGCTGAGGGCTGGGAACCCGCGGAAGGAACCTTGGCGAACCAGCTGTTCCAGAGGGGCATGGCGCCGGGGAATGGCAGCAGCAGTGGTGCCTGCGGCCACTGGGGTGCCTGCCTCACCCTTTTCACCCGGGGATGTGGTAGCTGGTGTTGGCGACACATGCCCAGGTTGGGCAGGCCCAGGGGCCACAGTGGGAGCAGCTGCTGCCTCTGCTAGAGACACAGAGGAACAGCTGATTAGAGATCTCATGTTGGCATTTAAAAAAATCCCATCTGGCATGTTTTTTCCTCCTTGAGATGGATCCCAGGACCTTTTTCTTCCTTCTGAGACAGAGTCTTGGTATGTAGTTCAGACCAGTCTTGAATTCATTATGTAGCTTAATGAGGCTGGCCTTGAACTTGCAGTGATTCTTTTGCCTTAGCCTCAAGTGCTGGGATTACAGGCATGTGCTACCGTGCCCTGCTAGGACCTGCATTTGGATCTTTTTTTTTTTCTTTTATCTTTTTGAGACAGGGTCTTTCTATGCAGTTAAGGCTGGCCTTGAGCTCACTTTGTAGCCCAGGCTAGCCTCGAACTCGCAACAATCCTCCTGCCTCAGCCTCCTGAGTGCTGGGATTACAGGTGTGAGCCACCAGGCCTGGCTCTGGTTTTTTTATAAGATAGCTGTCTGCTGCTAAGTTCCCCAGGCTGAGCTTGAACTTTCAATCCTTTTACCTCAGTCTCCCAGAGTGCTGGGGTTACGGATGTGTGCCATCATGCCTGGCCCTCTTGATGTCGCCTTCCTCACCCAATGTCTTTTTCTCAAGCTGGTCAGAAGCCTGGGGCATCTCTCATCCCCACCCAAGCCAAGTTTGCTTTCCCCAGGAGGCCCAGCCTGACCTCTGGGTCTCTAGCTTTTTGTCTGTGATCTGTCTTCCTGCACTGTGCTCACCATTTCCCCCTTGGAGACGCTGACCCTTTTTGGTAATTTATCAACACTTATTTAGTATGTGAACACAGTATCAGGCATTGTTCCAGGAGCTCTGTGAGTGTTAACTTGTCTGTCCATACGAACAGCCTGGGACGGAGACCATCTGCATTTTACAGCTGCGGACCTGGAGGTCCAGCAAAGGCCTGTGCTGCGGCCAGTCACCCTGCTAGGAAGGGGTAGGCTGACTCTGAAATCTGTGTTTCAAGCAATGGCCCTCCCGTGTCCCTCCCGGAGGCCGCCCCTCTCCACCGCATTCTCTCTCTGCCACTCTGTCCTCTGTTTCCCTATTTGCAGCCCTTCTTCCCACTCCCAGTTGCTGTGAGTCACTGCAGTCCTGGCCTGGCCCACATCATGCTCTGGGACGCTTTCCAGACTGTTTTCCTTCTACTCTGGGACTGTTCTCGATTCTGGGGGGGGAGGGGGACTTGGTCTCCCCACTTGCCGTGAAGAGACAGGTTCTTCAGGCCTCCCCTGCCTCCCCTGCCATCCCTCCTCCTCCTCCTCCATCCAGGGCCTCACCAGAGCCACAGCCACACACAGGGATGTCACCTAGGCTGCTTCTCCTACCTTCTAGAAGAAGTGACGAGGAACCCACCGGGCTGGCCTGGCACTGTGGAAACAGCCCTCAAGAGGTTGGAACTAGGAAATCACCTCTGCCCTTTCTTACTGGGTGACCTCAGGAAGTTCCCGCCCTTCTCTGGGCTCCAGTTGAACTAAAAACCTGGGATAAACATCCCCGGGCTACCTCCCTGGGCCTCCGGACAAGGTCAGCTAAGGTAGGGAGTGCTCAGTGCTTTGGAATTCAAAAAGAGCTTGATAAACAATTCTGCAGACAGAGCTCTGTTCCAGAGTCCAGAGTGCCGTGTTAAAACTCAGAGCCTCCAGGTTGTAAACCGGTGAGCGCAGTGCTGGCTGTAGAGAACTAGACACAGCCGCAAATCGGCCCTGGCTTTGTAGCCTCAGCAGGGCTGTGCTAAGTGAGGGCTTTCTAAAATGCAAAGTCCCTAGGAATAAATGTGCGTGGTACTGGGGATTGAACCTTGGGCCTCTGACCCAAGATACACCCCTAGTCCATGTTAGGTTTTGAGATAGGGCCTCACCAAACTGCTAAGTTGACCAGGCTGAGCCTGAATTTGTGATCCTCCTGCCTCAGCTGCCAGATTACAGGCTTGTGCCACTCCATCTGGCTCTGCCAATGTTCTTCATAAATTCTAATATGCTATGTAAATGGTATATAAATATCAGTAGTTGGGCTCAATGGTGTATGCCTGTGATCCCAGCTCCTTGGGAGGCTACAGCAGGAGAAGCATGAGTTTCAAGGCCACCCTCAGCACTGTAAGGAGATATTGTCTCAAAACAAAAATACAGACAGAGAGAGCAAAAAAGAAATATTTGCAAACTGTAAAGGATTGTAAACCCGTGTTCCTTGTCAACAATAAAACGATCTAAATGCTATTGGTCCCTCTGCTGACAGTTCTTCATAACTTTATCCATTTTTCTGAGACAGGGTCTTGCTATGTAGTTTAGCTGGCCTTGAACTCACAGAGATCCCCTTCCTCAGCCTCCCAATGCTTGCATTGCAGGCATGAGTCACCACGCCAAGCAAAAGTAGAGACAGGATTTCTCTACGCAGTTCAGGCTGGCCTTGAATTCATTTTGTAACCCAGTCTGGCCTTAGACTCACAGCAATCCTCTTGCCTCAGCCTCCTGAGTGTTGGGATTATAGTCATGCACCACCATGCCTGACCCTAAGGTATGATTTTTGTGGTAACCCATTATACAGATGGGGACACACACAAACGGAAGTAAAAGCATCATTAAATTATACTTAACTCATACTACATCTGATGTACTCTAATATTTTTTATTGCATCTTTAAAATTTTTAAATTTACTTTTTGTATCAGGAATGGAACTCAAGGCCTCAAGCTTTCCAGGTAGGTACTGGCTGCTGGGCTATATCCCCGGCCTATATCTCATTAAAAAGAGTTCCAGCCCTGTTTACTAAACTGATTTCTAGGTCTTACCACGCAGATGGAAAAGCCACAAAGACCCATGACTTGGATTACAAAGTGCTTAGTGAGCTGGTCAGGGTGGTGCGCGCCAGTATTCCTAGTACTGTTGGAGGCTGAGGCAGGAGAATCACAAGGTTCAACCCAGACCTGGCAATTTAGCAGGATTTCACCTCAGATTAAAAAAATAATTTTTTCTTGGTATGGGGAATCGAACTCAGGACCTTGCGCTTCTGCTAAACTATATCCCCGATCCTAAAACATTTTTTTAAAGGGATCTGAGATTGTCAGTGTGAAAAACCCTGGGTTGCTCCTGAGTGTGTGTGTGTGTGTGTGTGTGTGAGTGTGCATGTGTGTGTGGTTGGGATGGTTTATGAGCTGAGTTTTGCCTCACTGCTGGGCAGCCTGCTGCCCTAAGTGTGGCTTTTTAAGAAGAGGCACTGTAACCAACTCTGTGGTGCTGCCCTGCAGTCCCTATGCCTCCCAGCTCTGCGTACCCAGCCCATGGTCCCCCTCCCCGTGTGGGCAGTACTCACCTTTCTTCTTGTCCACGGCCTCACGCTCTGATGGCCGCCCGCCCCCGGACAGGCGGAAGGAGCCCTCGCGGGCGAAGCTGGTGCGGCTGGCGTCGAAGGCGGCTGTGACCCCACACTCCTTCTCCCGACGCTGCTTCCGCTCCAGGCAGGCAGCGAAGGCGCAGCCCACGGCGTGGCTCAACCTCTCCCCCTGCGAAGGAAGTCGGGGTCAGACACATGCGGCCGGCAGACTGACCAGGGCCCGGGTTCAGCGACACAGGCACACGGCCTGCAAACCGCAAAACGCAGCTCGAAGGGCCGGGGGTGGCTCAGTGGTCAGCGCGGGCCTGGTGCATGCAAGGCCTGGATTCCCTCCCAGCATGGAAGGGAAGGGAGGATAGGGCCAGGGAGAACAGGGAAGAAGAGAAGGGCAGAGGAGGGTGGAGCGGCGCATGCTGTAATCCCAGCCCTCTAGGAGGCTGAAGCAGGATCCCTTGAGCTGTGGGGTTCCAGACAGTCTGGGTAACACAGCCACACACGCAAAACAAGCCGGCCCTAGAAGCCAGATATGAGGGCATGCGCAGTATGGCTGCGTTTTCAAGGCATTCTAAAAGAGACAAAGCTAAGGTAAGGTGGAAAGGTTTCTTGGGAGTGGGGCCATGCGATGTTCCCTGGCAGTGTTTTCTGGGCCCCAACAGAGGCAGAGGTCACAGGTATATGCAGTTGTCAGAGTTCAGCAAATGTGCAGTGTTGCTGGGGGCTAAAGGCTCGTGAACCTTTGCAGATTCTGATATTGAAGCCCTAATTCCCAAAGCCATGGAATGGTATCTTACTCTGAGGTTAAAATTATGTTAGGGTCCTTGTGACAGGATTAATGTCTTCAGAAAACGAATGTAGCTAATCTCATGGTATAATCACTGCACTATGGGAGGCTGAGGCAGAAAGGCAATTTAGTAATTTAGTAAGACCTTGTATCAAAAGAAAAAATGTGAAAAAAAAAAAAGGCCTAGCAAATGCAAGGTCCTGAGTTACATTCCTGGTACAAAGAAAAGAGAAAGGAACAAGACCCTGCCTTCCATGTGAAAATCCATTCAGGAAGAGGCCACCTGTAAGCTGGGAAGCCAGCCTGCAAGAACCACCAGATCATGCAGCTCCTGGGCTTGGGCTTCCAGCCATCAGTCTGAGTTAAATACTTGTTGTTTCAATCATCTAGTCTACATATCTGGTTATAGCAGCCTGACTAAGACAGGCATGTATTTTACTCAGAAGAAAAACACTGGAAGCAAATATGCATTCTGCTTCATGGAATGCTTGCTGAAGTGTTGGGTGGAGGATGTCTGCACCTTGAAATGCACCCGACACACGATGGCAGCTCTGTGACAGCCAGCACTGCAAACATTAATGAGAAGATGTGGAGGTGGGTGACGGAGTAAGTCCATCAACTTCACTGCATGCTTGCAAAAAAAAACCTAGTATCCAGCTTGGTGTTCGGGCACCATGCCTGCAATCCCAGCACTCTAGACTGAGGCAGAAAGACCACAAGCTGGAACCCAGCTTGGTTGTCGGGCGCAGGCGCTCAACACACCCTGCCCGGGAAGATAAGACCACGTCAGCTTCCGCAATGCATTACGTCCCTCTCTAAACTAGCCAACCGTGCGCACCTCGCACTCACTCCGTATTCGCCCCGTGCCGACTCTGTGGCAACCCCTGATTGGCCACAGCTGGATATATTAGCCAGAGCCTGCGTCCCATTCCCACCCTGCTTCCTCGTGGCAGCCTGTGATTGGTCATGGCCGAATATATAAACCAGAGCCCGCGTAAATAAAGCAGCAGTTCCTGTTACCACCTGAAGCCTCTCCTGTCTCATTGGGGGGCTGCGCCGGTCACTTGGTGACTTGGTGAAAACCCGTCTCAAGATAAATAACATAAAATAGCTGGGCATGGTGATGCACGCTTATAATTTCAGCATGCCAGGCTGAGGCAGTCAGTCTAGACTATATAGTAAATTCAAGGACAGCCTGAACTACACAGGAAGAACTCGTCTCAAAAAGTAAAATAAAATAAAATAAAGGCTCAGGAATGTAGCTCAGTGAAAAAGATCTGGATTTAATCCACAGTGCCACATTTCAAAAGTAGTAATCAAATGTTGAGAGGGAAATACTGGCTACTATTTTATTTTCATCTGGCTTTATTTTTTGTTTTTTTGTGGGTTTTTTTTTTGGTATCAAGTATCAAACTCATGACCTCACGCACTTGCCATGCAGATGCTTGTGTTGCTGAGCTAAACCCTGGGCCCTCGTTTTGTCTATTGAGACAGGGACTCATTGGGCAGTACAAATTGGCCTTTAACTTACTATGCAGCCAGGCTGGTCTTGAACTCCCAGGAATCCTGCTGCTTCAGCCTCCCAAAGTGCTGAGATTACACGGGTGCCCTGCTTCTAGTCACTGTTCTTGAGCACTTCCTTCCAGTGCTCTGAGGTTAGGTTGCCTTGGATTGGCACTGATCCCCCATTCCACCTATGAGCTGTGAGTTCTCTAGAAATCACTTCCCCCTCAATATCTGAGTTTCTTTCCCTGTAAAGTGATGGTCCTAGCCAACTACTTTACAGACTTCTTGCAAGAAGTAATTGCTACACTCCAAGTGTGCATAGTCAGGAAATACCACATATATGTCACCATAACTCTGTCTGGTGCTGGGTTGAAATGTACTTTTTTTTTTTTTTTAAATGTACCTTCTGGGGCTGGGGATTTAGCTCAGCGGCATAAGCGCCTGCCTTGCAAGCAGGCAGTCATGAGTTTGATCCCCAGTGCTGTTAAAAAGGAAAAAGACAAAAAAAAAAAAAAAAAAAAAAAAAAAAAAAGAAAAGAAAAGAAATGTACCTTCTTATGACTTTTTCCAAAACCGCCAGGAGGTGAACATTCTTATGAACCCATTTCACAGATCAAGAAACTGAGGCTCAGATGGGCTGGTGATACCCTCAATCTAACAAGTGAAGTGGCAGAGTTGGGATTCACATAAGAAGACTTCTGTTTGTTGTTAAAGGAAATTGAGATATGTTATGTACATGTAACAAGTCCACAAAGGAATGTAACTTGCACTCATGTACTGATAAAATAAAATAAAAACCAAAACGAAAGCCAAAATAACTGGGAACCTGAATCCTGCATCATAGTAAAAGGATTACATACCATAACCATGGGGGGTTTATTCCAGAATGCAAGGCTAGTTCAGTACAAGAAAACAGTATGGCAGCATAAGCCATCGTTCCTAGCTGGTCTCATCACACTTACCAGAATTTGACAATGAACAGAGGCAGTGAAAAGGAGGTTGGTCATGGTGGGTGCCATGTTCCCAGCTGCTCAGGAGGCTGAGACAAGAGGATTGTAGGTTCAAGGCCAGCATGGGCAACTCAGTGAGACACCACATGAAAATTAAAGAAGTGAAAGGAGGCCAAGTGTGCTGGCTCACGCCTGTGATCCCAGCACTAGGGAGACTGAGGCAGGAGAATCACTGTGAGTTTGAGGCCAGCCTGGATACAGAGTGCGCTCAGCCTGAATTACACAGCCACACCCTGTCTCAAAAAAGAAAAAAAATTAAGTGGTCCAACATGATCGTACATGCCTATATTCCCAGCATTCTGGGGAGCTGAGGCAGGAGTATTGTAAGTTTAAACCCTGGGCAACCTAGCAGCAACTTAGTGAGAGTTCATCTCAAAAATAAAAGATAAGAAAAAGATCAGGGGATGTAGCTCAGGGCAGAAGCCCTGTGGTTCAATCCAAACATACACACAAAAATGCATACAATGGAATTCCAAAGGATCCAGAATAGCCAAAAATAGTTTTGAAAAACAACAGGGTAGAAGAATGATACTTCCTAATTGCCAAACTTAGGACACAGCCATATCAGTCAAAACAGTGCAATAATGGGCTGAGGATACAGCTCTGAGGCATAACTGCCTGCTTAACAAGCACAAGGTGCCGAGTTCGATTCCCAGCACCAAAACAAACAAATAAACAGGAAAACCAGTGCAGTATTAGTATAAGGATAGACACACAGACAAATGGGCAAGTGAAAGAGAAATAAACCCATACAAGTGTGGTCAATATATACTTTCTGTCTTTCTTCCTTTCTTTTGAGACAAGGTCTCCCTATGCAGTTCAGGCTGGTCTTGAATTCACTTTGTAGCCCAGGAAAGGATCCTCCTGCCTCAGCCTCTCAAGTGCTGAGATTAAAGGTGTGCGCCACTATACCCGGTGGGTTAATATATTTTCAATAAGGGTGCTAAGACCATTTGGTGGAGAAAAGATAGTCTCTTCAGCAAATGATACCTTGAAAACTGGACATCCACATGCAAAAGAATGAGGTTGGACACCTGACACCGTACACCCAGATTAACTTCAGGGTAGGGACATTGCTCGGTGCTAGAGTGCTTGCCGGACACACAAAAGGCCCTGACTCGGTGCCTGGCACTGCATGACAGAAATAGCCTCAAAATGGATAAAAACCTACATGTAAGAAAACAATAGATAAATTTGGCTTGGACAATATTAAAAACATGTTTCTCATCAAAGATCACTTGAGAAAGTGAAAAGATCATGAAATGGGGCAGGGTCAGGGGAGAGATCTGTAATCCATATATCTGCTAAGAGCCTAGTACTCAGGAGAAATAAAGAATTCTTACAACAAAAAACAATCCGACTAAAGGAAGGTAAAGAATAGACACGAGCTGGGTGTGGTGGCGCACACCTATAATCCCTGCATTCCAGAGGCTGAAGCAGAAGGATTTCCATGGCTTTGAGGCCAGCCTAAGCTATGTAGTAATTTTATGGCCACTCTGAACTACATAGCTTGTCTCAAAAAACAAAACAAACCACCTCCCTCTGAGAAAGCAACAAAGAAAAAGAAAAAAGGAAGGACTAGGGGCTGAGGATTTAGTTCAGTGGCATAAGCACCTGCCTTGCAAGTAGGCGGTCGTGAGTTTGAGCCCTGGTACCGATAAAAACAAAAAAGACAAAAAAAAAAAAAAAAAAAAAGGAAGCGCTAGAAATCTAGGTCAGTGTGAAAGCCCTGAGTACATCTATACTACTGCCAGAAAAAGAAAGTCACGTATCACGATTGTAAGGTGCCAACTTTCCACAAAGAATGTAATTTTTATGTACAGCTAACATGCACTAATAAAAAAAACCCTCTGAAATAATAATATGAAGTGGAGTGGGGCTGGAGATTTAGCTCAGCAGCATAAGCACCTGCCTTGCAAGCAGGCGGTCGTCAGTTCAATCCCTGGTACCAATAAAAAAAAAAAAAAAGTGCAGGTAAATTTTAGAGAGAAAGCAGATTAGAGGTTTCCAGAAATGGGGTGGGGTGGGGGAAGGATACAGGTCCCCCGTGGGGGCGGTGGAAATATTCTGGAACTAGACAGAGCGGGTGGCTCTACGTTACTGTGAACGTACTGAAGGCCGCTGTACTGTACAACTGGAAGTGACTAATTTTATGGGAATTTCGCCTAAAAAACAAACTTGAAGCATCTTGCTGCTGCAAACCACAGCTCAGCAGCGCAACAAATTCACTCAGCAGCACACTCTATCAGGAGCAGATGGCCCTGCCCTCCCTCTCTACCTTCCAGTGTCATCCGCAGAGTGGAGTTCAGTTCCTGTTTACTGAACACTTAGTACCCAACCCTGGGGAGAGCTTTGCATGTGATCGCAACACACCCTTCCACGGGGAAGGCCGGGGATACAGCTCAGTGGCACAGCACCTGCCTGGAAGCACAAGCTCCTGAGTTCGATTCCCAGGACCAAAAAAAAAAAAAAGTTAGCACAGGAACCTGTGAGTAACTGCTCCCTTATCCCCTGATGGAGATGCCACTGGGCCCACGGACCCCACACAGCCAGGCGGCTGGACGCACATCCATACCATCAGCCCTGTGGAGTGTGCTTTCAGAAAGTAGCTGCAACCCATTTCCGGTGCCACAGGCTTTTCCAGAACCTTTCCCTCCCCTGTCAGAGCGGAAGCCCATGCGCTGTCCTTCTCACTGAGCAAGACCTCTGTGACCCACTGGACAAACAGTAGCCCAGGGCCAGGTGCTGTCCAGGACAAAACCTCAGTGTCTACACTGCTTCCTCCTGCCGGACTCTTTGTCTCTTTCTCTCTTCCCCTGCCTGTCCTGAACCCTGAGCCTGGATCACCTCGTGGAGAGTCCTAGACACTGTCTTCAGAGCCATCCTTCTGGGCCTTCCCCAGATTCCTGACCTCCTGAAACCATGAGAGCTAAGACATGAGTACAGTTTTAAGCCATGAAATTTGAAGCGCTTTGTTATGCAGCAACGGATGACTGATATGACCACTACGTACGTTGCCAGTCACTAGGGTTTCTGCCCTCTCTGCACGGGTCCCAGCAGGCCCCACTGACTACTGACTGATCCACATTACATTCTTGAATTTGTTTCCCACCTTAAGTGTCAGCTCTGCCATGATGCGCGAGTCGGGACGCTGGGGGTACTGACCAGTGTTGGGGCTCAGAGCTATTTGGGGTGGGGCCTCCCAAACACAACACAATGGGGAATCCTGGGGTGGAAACTGCTAGATTGAAACTGTTTGTGTTACGCGTCCAGCACTGGTTTCCCCATCCCACTTTCCTTATGAACAGAGCCTAACTGAGTGCTTCGCCCTCTGGCCAAGGGAGGACAGTGCCAGGCTAACTCCACACCCTCTCCTTAGGACCTGGCTCTCTACCGAGGCACCCTGACTGGGCAGTTTCTGGGTCCCAAGGCCGTCCTTTCTGATACTCCACGTTTCTGGCTACCTCTCCATTTTATATCCCTTTAGCAATCTTTTTTCCCCGCTCCTGTTTGGTCTGAGATAGTCTTACTCTGTAGTTCAGGCTGGCCTTGAACTCACTATGGAGCTCAGGTTGGCCTCAAACACATGGCGATTTGCTTGCCTCAGCCTCCTGAGTGCCAGGATGACAGGCATGAGCCACTATAGTTAGCTTCTCCCATTAATCATATTCTGGGTTTAAATCGTTCCTATTGCTTATAACCAAAGAACACTGGGCAACGTAAGAAAAAAAAGAGAGTCTGGCTTTCTACCAGAGTTGTTTTGAGTCTGAGTTCAGGGTTCAGGGTCCAGGGCAAAATAAAGATTATGTTTGCCATCATCTTTTGCAGTTAAGGATGTCCGTGTGGCTAGTTACTGTGAAATTCCTAAAAAGGACAAAGTGTGCTGCTCCTTACGCATCCTTTGTGCTGACTGGAATGCAGACATGAAAGCTGGAACACATGCATCCATCTGGGAACACGAAGCCACACAAGAACCATGGCCCCCGATGAGCACAGAGAGGTGATGCCAATGCTACATTCCCTGTCTTTGGGTTTTATTTATGTGAAACTAACATGTATGTCATCAAAACCACTGTGATCTGGGGATTTTTCTATGATAAGCCTCAGTGTTCTAACTGTGTGAATTCTTCTGAAGAGTCCACTTATCGCTCATCAGATTTTCAGAAAGGAATCTGACCTTTCCCCTAAAACACTACAACTATGGGCAAAAGGTGCTGAGGCTGAACAAACGGTGAATGCCCTTGGGTGGGGTACTATCTGAGAAGGACCCAAGAGCGCCTGCTGGGGATGAGAAACTCTCAGTACCTTAAATCTGGGTGAGACTTACACAAGAAAAGCTGCATGTCATCAATCTGCATGTGAAATGCACACGTGGGGAGCCACTAGGAACAAGGGTAACAGGGCTCTCCTGCGTGCCTGGGATGCGCTGGACACTTTCTCACACTTTGTGTTGCCCACTCAAGGCTCCCAAGAATCCTTTCACTTAGAAATTCAGTACACCTCTCTCCGAAGACACAGGGGCCAATCGCTTGTCCAATTCACACCGCCTGCAGGCTACAGAAGGCAGAAGGGGGCCAGTTTTGGGGATACTTACAGAGTCCTTGAGTGCCAGGAAACAGTGGCAGATCCAGCGGCGGGTGGTGCCGTCCCGGCAGATGTAGGAGAAAGCCTTGTCCAGGTTGCGGTCAGGCGCGCAGAAGGAGACCTTCTCGATGGTCTGGTCCACCAGCAGGTCCTAGGAGGCCAGGGAGGCCAGGAGAGTGGCGTAAACCATTCGATCCTTATTTGTTCATTTCTTTCTTGTTTCTTTGTTTACAGTGCTGGCGATTGAACCCAGGGAATGCTGAGCTACAGTCCCGATGCTTTTTATTTATTTTGTGAGGGTTTTTGTTGCTGTTTTGTTTTGTTCTTTTGGGATTTCAGACAGGGTCTCACTGTCTAGTCCAGCCCGGTCTTCAACTCACTATGTACCCAGGCTGGCCTTGAACTCGCAGTAATCCTTCTGCTTCAGCCTCCAGCATGCTGGCATTACAGGTGTACACCACTGTGCCCTGTGGCCATTTTTGTTTAGAAACAGGGGTCTCACTAAGTTGCCCAGGTAGGCTTTGAACTTAGATTCTTGTGCCTCAGTTTCTCTAGTATCTGGAATTACAAGCGTGCACTAACATACCTGGCTTATGAACTGTCTTTCACATATTTGTTCAACACTCAACAGCTGCTCTAAATTTTTGTCCTGAAAGGGCTACAGACTGGATAAGTCACAGAGACCATTGTGGGGAAGCCTTGTAGAAAGCTTCCAGTTCACATCCATCATGAGACAGGGATAGCTAGAGACATGCAGGGTGCAATAACAAGGCACAGACAGATGAGCTGCAGCCTAGATGGGGAGGCCAGGCGCTTGCAGAAGCCAAGAAGGGGTGCTTGACTCAACTTGCGGGGAGCCAGCCAGAGCTTGCTGGAGAAGACAGTCCTTGGGCCAAGGGATCTGCCTGTCCCGAGGAGGTGGTGACACTGCTCTGCCATGAACCCAGCCCTCAGCACATCCATATTGCTTTCTCAGGCAGTCTCTGGCTTGGGACAGGGAGTCACTGGAGAACAGACAGACACCCAGTCCTGACCCCAAGGATCGCCTGGCTGGGCAGACTGAAAATAAACTCGTAGCCGCTACCTCATATTGGTCTAGATACTTACGATGTGGTGGGTAGCATTTTAATCAGTTTGTAGTACTTTCTCATTTAACAGCGGGGTCCATTCTGAGCCCCATTTTTCAGATGAGGCGTTATATCTCACGCCCAGCATCCCCAGCTGGTGAGTAGGTGTGCTGAGGGCTGAGGTCGCCCCTCCAGTCTCTGCTCTCACCTTCCCTCTGCACCAGCTCACAAATAACCACAGCCCTCCTTCCTGAATTAGGCCTGTGCGGTGAACCAAGTCATTGCAGAGACACATGGTGTCGTCTAGAAGGTCCTCAAGGGAGGGATATCCTGGGCTGAGGGCTTGGACCTATGAGGCTGAACCAGCACAGGGTGAGGACCTCGGCCCCCTGGTGCCCACCCCACCCCCACAGGCCTCTTACCTTGGTCTTGTCATCCACCACTCGGAGCCCATCTGCTGACACCCACAGGACAGACTTCACTGACTTCCGGCCCATCTGGGGTGGGGGTGGAGACGGAGTGGACCAGTCAGGGCTGCCTCTGCCCAGATGACATTGCCCCTCCCTGGTTCCAGCCCATCACTTACCGCCTTCAGTTTCTTCACGGCATCTTCACATACGTGCATCCCCCGGGACTCCTCCACCTCCACATGACCCAGGTACTTGGGTGGGGAGGAAGGAGGACAGGAAATTAGCAGCATGATCAGTAATTCCCAGTGTTCCCCACTCATGCGCCATGCATTGGGCTATGCTCTCAGCCATCATCATGTGTAGCAGCATGAGGGCCTTCCCTTCCTCAATCCTGCCAGCTGGCATACTCAGGTCCACTTCAGGGAAGTAGAAAACCAGGTGGAAGAGCCAGCAGCCCAGTAGGAACTGAAGGGTCCCCCCCAGAAGGGTCTCCATGGCCCATGCCCTGAATCTGGAGTCTTCCCAACAAAAGCATGGCATATGTTGTAAGGGGCTGTAGCTCTCTGAACCACAAAGCCCTTAAAAAAGACTCTGTAAATGCTACACATTTTTTTGACATTCCAATGGAGGTTACTCTTCTGGAAACTGGGAGCGCCATCAAATGGGGTAACAATGTGTCCCAAGTAACATCTTTCTGATTCAGGAAAAAATGTCCTGATTTTCTTTTTTTTTTCTTGTTGGTACCAAAAATCGAACTCATGACCCTGCACTCACCAAGCAGGTGCTATGCTGCTGAGCTACATCCTCCGCTCCCATGTCCTGATTTTCAATGAGAACTTTAAAAGACTCAGGGTCCTGATCTACAGCTGTTTTTGTTTTTCAAGTCCTGAGGACTGAATTACTCCTCCCAGCTTTTTAAAATTTTGAGACAGTTGGACTTGAGTTTATAATCCTCCTGCCTCAGCCTTCCAGACTGCTGGGATCACAGGTGTGAGCCACTGTGTCTGCCTCCCCAGCTCTCTGAAAATGTAGTCCCTAGTCTGCCACACAGGGTCCTCATGGAGTCCTTAGAAGTTTCAGCACCACCTCCAGGATATAGGGGGTACGCGGCAGGTGGCCTGGGTGGCCCTGCCCTGGCTGCACCCCTCCCTCAGACAGTGGCATCCGCACACTCACCCTGACTGGGAAGCTGCACGTGCCCTTGCGCACGGCATCCTCGTCTGCCTGCCACTGGTGGGGACGCGATGCCTCAGGCACGTAGGCTGGTTTCCTCCGCCGCAGACTCTGTCGTAGCTTGTTCATGGTGCCCGACTCGTCTAGAGACAAAGGACAGCAGTGTCAGTCCAGGTCAGGACTATAGGTGTGAAGGTTTGGGGCTCGAGGGGTATAGGGGTTGGTCAGCATGGAAGAGAGGTTCCATAATGAGGGAGTCACTGGGTCTGAGGACATGACATTTGGGAGACATGGGGAAAGCACAGGGTTGCAGGGTTGTGCAACAAGGATTCAGGAACACGGGGCAAGGAGCCTGGAGCTGAGTAGGCCAATGGCCACAGGCGTTAGGGGGGCAGAAGTTGGAGCTGGGACCCACGAGAAGCAAAAGCATCCAAGGCGAGTGAGGGCTTTGGGGTACGAGGGATGTGGACGGGGTGGTCAGAGGGCCCAGGAGTTTACGTGTGCTCTGTAGGGAGGGGAAGGAGGAGCTTCCTTGTCCCGGGAGATCTGAAACACAGCCCCTCTCTGTGGCTGTCAGAGTCAGAGGTAGGACTCTGTGTGCACGCGTGTGTGGGTGATGAGAGTGGAAGTGGCCAGCCCTAAGGCCAGTCTTCAGTGACTTACAAGCCATCCTAACAGTTCCAGGGAAAGAACGAGGGGACACCCAGAGCTGGAGGAACCAATGGCAGATGGGGACTGTGTGTGTGCATGGAAGCAAGTGTATAATGGATTGAGGAATGGGCTGGTGAGGGCGTCTGTGTCTAAGCATGCCTCTGTTAGCTGTGAGTGTATTCTGGAAGGCTATGTGGAAGGAACATGGCTGAGTGTGATCGTTTATGATGGTATGTGGCTGTGGGTGCTGTCGGTGAGGGGCCTGGTGTCCACAGGTTGGTTGCTATCTGTGTGTGTTGTCCCTGAAGGGTGCTGTGGATAGTTCAGAGGGGTTGTGCATGTTGCATGTGGAGTGGTTGTGTCTGTGCATGAGGCTGGGGTCTTTGACAGGGCATGTCTGTGCTGACATCTGTGAAGCTGCCTCAAGGGTGAGCCCACTGTGTGTTTTTTCTTTTGCAGTACTGGCTATTTAACCCAGGTCTTCACACTGCACAATATTCCTAACCCATCTTTTTTTTTTTTTTTTTTTTTTAGTACCGGGGATTGAACTCAGGACCTTGTACTTACTAGGTAAGTACTTAAGCTACTGAGCTAAATCCCCAGCCCAAACTTTTTTTTTTATCAGTACCGGGGACTGAACTCATGACCGCATGCTTGCAAGGCAGGCGCTTATGCCACTGAGCTAAATCCCTATCCCTGCCTTTCTTTTTTTAAGACAGGGTCTCAATAAGTCACTCAGTTGCCTGCCTTAGCCTTCTAGAATGCCGGGGTTGCAGGTGTGAGACACTACATTTGGCTCATTTACTGTTCTTGAGGACTATTGCCTCTGAGCAGGTGACAGCCATGAAATCCTGCCTATGTCCAACAGGGCAGCTGTTGGTGAGACTGGATGGTTGTGGCTACTGTTTGTGAGGACGAGTCTATGTCACAGCTTGAGGCTGCCATCTTACACAGTATGGGTGTGGGTATTGTTCTAGTATATGTCTGATGCAGTGTTAACACTTAAGAGGGTACATAAGAAAACCAGGCTGTAGTTTTTTAGACTGTGTTCCTGGGTATTATTTGTGAGGGTACAACTTGTCTGCGGGAGTGCTAAGTATCTTTTGTGACTGCAAAATCAGAATTTTTGGAGGGCCCAAACCTATGATAATTTTTTATAAGACTGTATACAAAAGTATATTATCTGTAGAAGCATGGGTCTGTAAGTGTTGCCTGGGACACTGCCTGTGTGCATTTCTTGAGTGTGGAAGAGTGTATCTGGCCTGTGGCTAGCTGTGTGAGAGTCCATGCGTTGTCTGGGAATATGTGTACAGATCCATCCTATTGTTGTAAATGAACAACCACTTAGCACATCTTTACGTGTGCCTGTCATCATATTAACGTGTGTGTGCCTAAGTGTGTGTCTATGGATGTGTGAGGGTCTGAGTGTGTGAGTCACAGCAAGTGTGAGGATGACAATGTGTGTATGTAGATGAGCAGACTTTGGTGGTGGCCGAGTGTGCATTTAGGGGTGCCCACTCATGAATGCAGTTAAGCCTGTGAGACACAGGGACAGTTCTGATCACGCTAGGCACACCCGTATACCCCCCCGGGCCCTCTCTGCTCCCAGCCTGGTCACTCACCTGACTCCGTCCTGAAGGTTTCAGGGGGCCCCAGAGCCCCACACGGGGCTGGGGGCAAGTGCTGCTCAGGCCTTCTGGGTCCGCCCTGCCCAAAGAAGAAAGGGGAAAGTGAGAAGTTTGGGGTGGAGTTAGGTCCCCTACTCACCCCTGACTCCCCACTTTGGTCTTCAGCCAACCCCTTCCATTTCAGACTCCCTGTGGGAGCCCTGGTTGTCATAGCAGCTGTTACCAGGGAGACAGCCACCTTGTTCTAAGGGCCCAGGATGGAGTAGGTGTGTTTGGAGGGTGGGCATTGCTGGAGATGTGCTGGCTTCAGAAGGCCCTAATCCCCAAGGGGATGGTGTGAATGGCTCTGGCCTCTAAACCTGCCTAGGACTACACACAAAATACAGTGACACGCATGAAGCCAACGTGCATCTACAGTTGTCTTTAGCAGTGGGTTAGAGCTATGCACACTTTGTTATAGACACAACAGCTACAGATTTCCGGTCACAGAGACACAGAAACAGTCATGGCCACAGATAGCTGTCGCTGTGAACATCTGGTCACATGTCCACGTTTACAGACACACATATGTGGAGTGCCCCAGCCTGCCTAGACCCCACCTGATCTGCCATTCACTGATATCTGTCACTCCTGTTTTCTCAGCCACATACAAAGTTCTGGGCTTGGGGTTGGGGATTTAGCTCAGCGGCATAAGCCCCTGCCTTGCAAGCAGGTAGTTGTGAGTTCGATCCCTGGTACCGACAAAAAGGAAAAAGACAAAAAAAAAAAACAAAAAAAAAAACAAAAAAAACAAAAACCCAACCAACCAAACAAACAAACAAAAAAAACAAAGTTCTGGGCTCAGGTACACCCACAGGGGTTACGCGTATACAACCACACCCAGTGACAGTTGTATTTCCTCAGGTGCCTACCCAAGAAACCCACGTTGCAGCTCCTCTACCCGCAGTGGAATCACATCCAGTCCCAGTTCACCCATTTGGCCACCTATAAGCACCCACACACACGCTGACACGACCACAGCTACATACACTTGTCACACACACCTCTTGTGCTGCATGCTTACACAGGGATGCTCATAAACAGACTGATGCACTTTTGGTCTCTCTGAGCCCACAGAGCCTCACACAGCCACGGCTGCACATCACCGTTCCCCTCAGCCGCATCCACCTCCCCAGCACACCTCGCAAGGTTACACGCTGTCACACGTATTGTGTTTGCTGCTCATATTTGCTCACATCTATTCCACAGTGTTCTGTGATAGCCATACTTGTGTGACACTGTACACGACCACACACAGGGATACTGACTTCCATGGCCTATGCACGACAGACGGTTACACATGTGCAAGGCACAGCATGCAACCACCCAGAGACAAACAGCCCCAAGAATGGCTCCCCTCAGACTCAGCCACACATGTTCTGGAAATGGTGGTGCATGCACCGACCTGCAGCACTGGTGTCCACATCACCCGGATACCTGTCACAATCAGTGTCCCATACACAGCTGTACCGTGTCACACCATCACAGAAACATAGTCTTTCTCCCTGCAGACAAACAAGTCACATCAACAAGCATGTGTGGCCCTAGGTGGACAAAGTCATAGCCCCAACTATATACACAACATCTCACTCACAGAGACATGAGTGCAGTTCCCATTTCCTACTTACATCGCAGAGTCAGGAGTATGCACAGAAATACATCGACCTAGGCATAGCATTATAGCTGTTTTACACAGAAGTGGTCCCTGACAGAGCCAGGCACACAGTCAGGGGCCAGCCAGCCCTCATCAATTCACACAGATCCTAACACAAGTGGTCTGGTGCACAAGCATACTTAGCCAGATCATAGATATGTGGGTTACCCATGCACGGGAAAATGGCCACAAATATGCACGTGTGCACACACACAGAGGTACACAGACGCAAGTCACACACAATAATCTCAATATAGCCAACATTGCAGACAGTAAGTCAAATGCATAACATCCCCCAAACACAAATGCATAACCCGAGTCACACACAAGGCTGTAAGTAAACGGTCACTCAGAATTACACAGCTATACATCATTTATACAGCCCCAGTCACCCTCATGTAGCTGGGAATACTCAACCACTGCCACTCAGGGCGCCATTATACAATCCCAGTCACATAGGCACAGTGTGACTTCACACACTGTTGCAGTCAACGTACCCAGAGTTTGTACAGCACTGTGTCACACAAATACATAAAATCCACTTTGACACAACCACAGTATTCTCGGTCCCTGGGAGCACCACACATGGACATGCAGTCACAGACATAACTCCACTTACACGGTCACAACTCCACCCATACCTTCAGTCAGTCACATACATGCCCATCCCTAGACTCAGCACAGATACTGTCACACACCAAGGCACAAAAGACATAACCATAGCCAAAGTCACACAATCACAACTATGCAATACAGACAGACTGAAAAGTGGAGGGTCTGCACAGTGAGCAGTCATCATTCACAAACAGTCTCACGAATAGTGGGGCCACACACAGACACCACCACACACAACCACGGCACACGATCATACAACACAAGATTCCTCATCGTCCCCAGCTGCAGCGCCATGTATGCACACAGCCACAGTCACACAAATACTGGGTCACACTCCTAGCCCCCTCCCTGTCTCCTGCTTCCACCCTTTCCTCTAGGTACCACACACAAAGCCGCCTGTCACCATCGCAGATGCTGCAGACAGACAGGGTTGCACCGGGTCCCTGGGGAGCTGCCCCTAGCCCAGCCAGAATCCTGGAGTCTGGGGGACCAGGTCCGATAGGGAAGACTGCATTGTCTACGAATAGGTCCTCTTTTGGACAGCTGGGCAGCCCTAGGGACAAAGGAGGTGGCCTGGAGGACCTGTGCCCTGAGACCCTGGTCCAAGCAAGAAGGAAGACTCCTAAAATTTCCCTCATTTTTATTCATGCTGGAATGCGGTGGGGTCCCAGGCACAGGGACCTTGTTTGGAGCAGGGCTGTGCCTGGGACACCGCCCAGGGACTGGAATAAGGCTGTGCCAATGAGCCTCTGAGGCCTAGGGGCAGGCAGTGCTGGGAGTCCCTCCTGGCTAAGGCTTGGTGGGGGAATCTGAGCTGTACAGAGGAACCTCATCCTTAAGACCTTGCCTCGGGGGTTGTTGTGCTCAGAGATTTTCACCGCCCCCGGTAGGGAGGGAGAGGGACTGTGTCTGGAACCGCCTCCGGGAGGCCTTGGCTTCATATGAGGACTATGTCCCGTATCCAGTCCCCCAAATCTTGCCTGGGAGTTGTACCTAGAATCTCTGTACCCCTGTCCTTGATGGGGTGAGGGGTGTCTTGTGCCCAGGATCCATTTCCAGAAGCTTGGCAAGAGATGGCCTATGCCTGAGACCCCGTCTCTCTTGGTTTGGCTGACTGGGGACCTGTTCTTGGACCCCCACCCTGGACCACCCTCACCAGCATTGGCAGCCTCTGTCCATCCGGGAGGCGCCCTCAGCTCCCACCCTCCGCCACATCAGCAGCGGCGCCGCCCCCCGACCCAAGCCCCCCTCTCCCGCCCTTCTCACACTGGCCGCCGCGCTGCGGGACATCCAGGGCCCGGGCGCCCCCGCCTCCCGCGGCCCCTGCCGGGCCCGGCTTCCTGGGTTCTGCTGCTCTTCTGGCGGCGACGGCAGCTCTGTCTGACGCCGGCCGGGCCCAAGGCCGGGGGATGGTGCGGGATGCACGCGCGCGAGCCAGCTCCGCTCGCTGGAGGACTCCGTTCCGGGGGCGGGGGAGCGTCCCTCCCGCCTCGGCCCCGCCCATTAGCCGGGCGCCTGCTGCATATGCAAAGAGACCCGCCCTTTCCAACCCACACAGGCCACGCCCACATACAAATACAACTCCGCCTTCTCCGGTACAGCCACCGCCCCACCACGCCCACTGGCTGGGCCTTGGTTAAGCGTGCAATAAGCTTCGCTGATTCCTTCCCCTAGATCCGTGGTGGCGCAGATTCCCTTGCCTTCTGTGACCCCTGACCTCACGTGTCCTCCAGATCTCAAAGAACTGCATTAAGAGGTCCCTTGCAGTTCCTCATCCCCCAAATCTCTTCGCTAACCCCACTGCACTCCCAGCCTGGCGGGGCAGGCAGAAGCGGTGACGAGGCACTTTTTGCAAGGAAGGGGAGGGGGAGCAAATAGACCCTGGCTCCAGGAGCCAGATCGGTTTAACTTGCTGGGAGTTTGGGGGGTCGCCAAGCTGGGACCTAGGCGTGTTTCTGGCCATCACCTCGCCCCTCTCCTACGCACACCCCAGTTCCATGGGTTTGGCAGGGCAACAGGGTCCATTAGCAAAGGCGAGGTGGCTGGGAGTGTGGGGAAGGCGCTTGAAGCAGGAAGGCCATGTGTGATGGGGTGGGCTTTTCAGCTGCCACAGCCCACTGAGCAGGTGGTCAGCACGTGGGGCTGGGGGAGGAGGATCCCGGCAACAGATGGTCCAGACAGGGCTGGGGCTTTCAGACAAGGAGCTCGAGGGGGCGCGCGGAGAGGGAGGGACGGGTTGACCATCTGCACCTGGCCACCCTCAAGCTCCTCGCCATCAGCGCAGAGAAAAGAGCTGGGGGAAGGGAAGGGTCGCTTTTATTCGGAGGGAAGGTTCAATCCCCACTCCCACCCTTCCAATACAGAGTTTGGACCAGAGAGAAGGGAGCTGGTGGAAGAGTAAAGGAGGCCCAGTAAAGGAGCTAAGGCCTCCACGGACCATCTCTCTTCCTTTTTCACCAAAGATCCTGAAGAGGCAGAGGTGAGTCAGGCTCCCTTGCAAGTCATCAGAAATCAGTTGTCAAAAATCAGTTGACACATTCTCTGGCTTACAGTTCCTGGATGCCCCCTTTGCAGTGGGAGGAGCTGTGAATTGGGATACTCTAGAGCTCAGGGTTCCCAAAATCCTGGGCCAAGGTGGGAGCTAGGCAAGATCAGGAAGCCTCAGGGGGTCTCCCAGGCAAGGACAAGAAGGATAGGGAATGGCCTGCTGTGGCCCTGGAATCCCTAGGTGGAGGCTGTCATGGGGTCTGCAGGGAGGGTCTATGGTCAGGAGGCTGCTGGCAAGGGTTGTGCCTGGCGACTGGCCCAGTATCGATGGTAGGTGTCTTGGAAGAGGTCCCGGCAGGCAATGTGGGCGTGGAGTCGGGCACAGGCCAGGAAGGCCCCTGCTAGCTTGCGGTGCAGGGCATAGGTCTCCTGAGGTGGTGGGCGCAGTCGGTGCTGCAGCAGCACTGGGATGAGGCCCTGTATGCGGCGGGCAGTGTCCCCCGCCCCAAAGTCATAGGGGCCAGGGGCAGCAAAGGGCTCCCCCAGGATCATCACTGCTTCCACATGGGCATCGGAGAATGCCTAGGGGTGGGGACAGCAGATGCACCCAGATGAACGTAGTGCCCTCCATTTGTCCCAGAAGAGACAAGCAGTCCTCAGCTTCCCACAGTCTCAAGTATAAACACAAGCTCCAGACTCCTCAAGAGTATAAGCAGCTTTCCAGAGCTCCTGGGAGAGAGCAGCTCCCTCTCACCCCCAACCTCCATCAGCCTTAGCTTCCTCTCAGCCTCCTCGACAAGCAGCTTCCTCTCCTGGGTCCCCAGTACCCATTAATAGCACCCCATCTAAAACAGGTAAGTGGTGTGTGTTCTCCTGAGTTTCCAGAATAGTCAGGCAGTCATATCCCCCACTCCTCCCCTAGCACAGGTAAGCATCCTCACAGCTGCGCACTCCCTGGGTATAGACCTAGCCTCTGCTCTCCCTAGTAAGAGACAGGCCCCATTCCCCTACTCCATCTCCAGTCCCCTATTCTCCCAGTGTCACCCAACCTTGGTTTCAAAGCCTGTGAGGAATTTGAGGTCCCGGGATTTCTGCAGGACACAGTCTTTGTCTCCATCAGCTGCAGCCTTCACCACCTGGAGAGATGGACATGGGATAGGGGACAGTGGCCAATGGCGGGGAGGTTGGTCCTAGAGGAAAGGAACCTCCTGAACCAACTCAGATCTACCTGTCCTTCTCTAGCTGGGTGCTTCCTCTTGTTTAGGAGCTTCTCACTTAGCCTCTGTGTGTCTCCCTCAAGACTGTCCTAGAGTAGAGGTGCCCTCAGGTAGATGTGGTCGGAGGTTCTGCCCACCTGGGTGGGAATGCAGAGCTTCTTGGAATTAATCACCGTGATATGCACAAAGGAAGATAAAAGAAGGATCCAAGCATAGCTGGACAAGGATGTGACCATGTCCTAGTCCCATGAACCTTCCTTTAGCAAATGAGTGTGCAGTGCTCAAGTCACATATTCCTTGTGAGCTAGCTTGGGCTCCTCCCAGCTGTGCTGCTGGCTGCTGAAGGGAAATCATGGCCTGGACTAGGCAAGCTGCTTTGCCCCTGGGCTGCTGCTTTCTCATTGGTGCAGTGGGGTTGGTGAAAGTTTTTTCCCCTGGTGATTATGAGGATAAGGAAGGTGACACCTGCGGAGTGCTCAGCACATGCATGCAGATAAGCATCATCGATATTGGTATTAGGAGCTATTCTTCTGAGTAAGAGCTGGATGTGCTGGTTCCCACTGCGCAGAAGAGAAATGGGCTGAGTGGGGACTGGAACCTGGGTCCAGCCCTTACCTGCTGTGTGGCCCTTTATGTGAGGGAGGGAGAGTACTGGATTAATCAGGCAGTTCTGTTGTGTCTCAGCTCCCCTGTCCATGCCTGTCTGGCCATCTGTCAGGCCTTGGTCCTTAGGGACTCATGTGACAGGGCTTTTTTAAACTGGAAAAGGCTAAGCCGGCTGTTTCAGCTACCCACAGAGGTCTCAGCTTTGTGTCTCAGGTGGGCTGTAGGGATGGCCTTTAAAGGAGTGTGAGGATGGAGGGTACCAGAGCTCCTCCTTCCTGTGCCCATCTCAGGGGTGGTCCCATGAGTTTTTAGCACAGAGCCCTGGGCCCTGTCTGGGACACAGCTCTCTCCCAATTCCCAGCCTGTCAGCTCCCGTGACTGTGCAGCAGGTGTCCCTCACGGCTGGCTGCTCTATTCCCTGCAGAGCCTCTCTGGGCTCATCACTTGCTATTCAGAGGGAGTTTTCTAATTCTGACAGTGTCCCTCCCCTGCTCAAATCCGTTCTGCAGTTCTTTATGGAATGGGGATAAAATGTCGCCCACAAAGCCAGCCTCTGCACCTCAGAGTGATCTGCTCCACCCGCACCCCTGTCCACCCAGTCTGAACATGAATTTTCTTTTGGTTCTATAGGGCCCTGCTACAGGCAGCATTGACATCCGCTGGAGCCTGTGGGAGATGCAACATCTCATGACTAACTCCATGCAAGGACCTGCATTGAACAGCACTGCCAGGGCTTCCCACACACATTAAAGTTTAAAAGCTCTGTGCTAATGGGACTGTCCCTTGTTGCCGCTTGACCTCTGCATGTGTTTATCTGGAATACCCTTCTGTCTTCATGACTGGTACTCCTCCTCCCTCGGGTCTCAACCCCATGTCTCTTCCTCCAGAAAGTCTGTCCTGACTTCCCAGGCTGGGTTAGCCCTCTGGACTCTCACAGCTGCTCTTCTCCATCCCCGTTGTGACACCTCCAGGTCCTCGACATCTGTCCTGACACTGGACAGTGCTCTCTATGAAAGTAGGGACCTAGGGCCAAGGGATTTAGCTCAGTGGTGTAAGTGCCTGCCTGGCAAGCACAAGGTTATGAGTTCAATCCGTGGTACCAAAAAAAAAAAAAAAAAAAAAAAAAGAAAGATAGCAGGGACCTAGATTGAGCCCAGGTCACTATTTATCCCCAGCACCATCCAAAATAGGGCTGGGCACAGAGATGGTGACCTGGATATGGTGGTGTGTACCTATAATCCCACCAGAGACTGAAGTGGGAAAACTGTAAGTTTAAATCCAGCCTGGGCAACTTAGCGAGACCCTGTCTCAAAAATAAAAATGGCTGGGGATGTAACTCAGTGTGAAGGATCTTAGTTCAATCTCCAATACCACAAAGCAAGATCACCAACAAAAAAAGCCCCAGGATGAGTATGCAGCCTGAGCAAATCAATGAGATGGTGTTCTCTGCGGTCTCTCAGACAAACTGACCCCAACAGGTGAGAGGTGGCAAAGTAGGAAGGAAATACTTCCTGAGACCTCGGCTTCCCGTGGGTGCACACTGTATACCAAGATCCTGGACACCATGGCTCTTGTGGACTCTGGACCCGGACTACCAGAGTGTGAGTCTGTGGTCTGCCAGGGTGTTGGCCAACTTAAGCGGCAGTTATTTTGTGTGTAAAATAGGACTAGAAGCCAAATGTGGTGGCACAGGCATATAATCCCAGCACTTGGGAGGCTTTGGCAGGAAGATCACTGTGAGTTTGAGGCCTGCCTGGGCTACATAGTGAATTCAAAGCTAGCCGTAGCCAGGAACTTAGCTCAGTGGCCCAAGTGCCTGGCTGGCAGGCACGAGGTCGTGAGCTTGATGCCCAGGACAAAAAAAATGGCTAGACTTAATTACATAGTAAGACCTTCTAGTGAGAAAAAAAAAAGAAAAAGAAAAAGAAAAGGGAGGGGGCCATGCAATAAGGGGTTCTGCTCTCACAAAGGTGCTATATGGTTTCCATCAGTTATTATACCTAACACCCTTAAAATGGTTTTTGACACTGCATTAAGTGCTTGGTATTTATAAACTGTGTTAATATAAGGTTATTTATTATCTCTTAATTCCAGATGTGTTATATTTCTTTTTACCCCTTTGCCTCATATATAGCTTGAGCCTCACCATTCAGAGGTGCCAGGGTCAGGGGGACTCACCTCAATGTAGTGGTCTGTGAACTCTGTCCCAAATTCTTGGCTTGCACCGAAGTCCAGCAGAGTCACCTATGAAGGAAGAATAGTGAGAACAATCCTAGGACACCTTGATGCCCCACTGTCTACTGGGGTAACCAAGACCCAGCTCTCCTTTTCACAGCCCTGCTACTGGATTCTGCTGGACTTGTCCAGCTGCTTTCCAGGGCGCTCCGACTCTAGTCTCCATGCATTTTCAGCCTTTCTTCATCTTTCTTTTTGAGACAGAGCCTTGGTAAGTTACTACATTGCCTAGGGTAGCCTAATACTTTTGATCCTCTTGCCTCAGACTCTTGAATAATTAGAAGTGTGTACACTGGCTGCTATTTGCTTTTGTAATAAATTTCAGCCCCCACTCCCTCCCCCAAAAAATCTGGAGAAGATGCCAGGTGTAGTGGCACACACCTGTAATCCCTGCGCTCTGGGAAGCTAAGGCAGGAGAAGCAGAAGTTCAAGCCAAGCCTGGGCAACTGTGTGAATCTCTGACTCAAAATAAAACATACAAGGGCTGGGGATATGGCTCAGTGGCACAAGGCATACCTGGCAAGCACAAGGTTGTGAGTTCAATCCATGATACAAGAAAGAAAAAAAAGGAAAGAAAGAAAGAAAAAGAAAAAAAATACAACAAAAAGGCTGGTGATGTAGTTCAGTGCAAAGGCCCTGGGTACAATCTCTAGTACTAAATAAATAAATAAATAAAATAATCACAGAACAGTAAGATACAAGAGAGGCTGGAGGTTTAACTCAATGGCACATGTGCCTGTCTGGCAAGCACAAGGTCACGGGTTTGATTACCAGTACCAAAAAAAAAAAAAAAAAAAGTACAAGAAATATAAAACATTACTAATCTGAATGGGACCTTACACATACCCCATCCTGACCCCTGCCCCTATCCCTGAGGTCCTTTCCAAGGTTACCAATTTCCTGAAACCATTACTAAATTATGTCTTCAAATTCCCATACATTTTTACAGTCTCTACACATGTGCACAATACGGTGACAGTTCATAACTTTGTTATGAACTGTTATAACATAAAGTTTATATAACTTTACATAAAGTTTACATAAAGTTTACATAACTTTACATAAAGTTAAAACTTTATGTAAAAGGTATTTACTACAGGTGTCCTGCAACCTGTACTTTTAGTCTAGTGAGGTCTTGTAGTTTATCTCATTGCTCTGGGTAGCTCTGGCTCATTCATTTATTTTCCACTACTGCGTGAGAATTTCATTGCATGAAAATATCACAGTGCATTTGTCTGCCTGACAGACACTGGTTGTCTCTGAGTTTTGTGCCCAATGAATTTCTTTAGTGCAGTGGAGTTTGAATGACCAACCCTACGTTACAGTAAGAATATGTATTCATGGTATCTGGGCAAATGCATGCATACATATAAATGTCATATAAGAGTGACCCAAAATAATAGGGACCCTTCTCATTTGTGACACACTGATAGGTTTTTTTTCTTCTGCTGCACTAAAGCAAAAACAAACAAACAAGCTCTGGAAGTCCTATAAATGGGTGTTAGACTCTACCTCCTAGAGTTTGAAAAACAGCCCCCTGGGGTATAAGATTAAGAGAGGACATAGGCAAATGTGTTTGTGGGTAGGTGTGGAAGGGACTGAGGCTGAAGACTCAGAGGCCACAGGATGCTTAGCAAAGGACAGACTTGATTCTGAGGATGCTGAGGAGCTGAGGAAGGGTCTAGCTATGTCATCCAGGCTGGCCTTGAATCCTCCTGTCTTAGCCTCCCAAATGCTGAGTTTACAGGTTTGTACCATCACACCCAGCTGCCAGACTTGTATTTGAAGAAGATCCTTTTGGGACAGAATGGGGACAGACCACTTTAGAGAACCATTTGGCAACCTCTGATGAAGGTGAACACAGGACCATACACAAGAAAAGTGCAAACTGTCATGTCCAGGGCTTTGTACACCTATGCCTTCAGCTTAGACACTGACCCTGCTCTCCCATAGCTGCCTGTTTGCCTCTTTCTGGTCTCAGAGTTAATGACACTCACTTCAGGAAGGCATATCCCTGATCCCCAGCAAGCCTAGACAGCTCAGGATGGGCCTTCAGCCTCATCCTCCCTGTCCCAGCCTGACCACTGGGGCCTGTTTCCCTATCTTGGTACTAAGTACTCTAGGTCATCACTGCACTGGAAGCAGAGCACACCAAGGCTCAGGGGAAGGCATAGCACAAAAGATAAAGAGCTGGGGTTCCTGAGCTGCTGCAAGGAAAAGTGTGGATAATGAACTACAATTGTGTTGAGCTACTGAAATATCTGGGAACATCCATTCCAGCACCAGTGCATCCTGACTCACGGCAGAAGTAACCAACCTGGTGGCTGGAGACATCGTACAGGAAGTTGGCCCAGTTGGGGTCTGTCTGCATGAATCTGAACTCAAACAGCTCCCGCAGACACAGCCTCAGGAGCTGGAAGCAAATCTGTGGTGGGGAGAGGTGAGATGTCTCGGTGATGTGGCCCTGTAGGGCGCCCCCCAACATCACCACACCACCTTCCCATGAAGCAACCTACCTGGTTCCGGACATCCTGGCTCAGGCCCTGGCACTGGTCCAGAGGGACTCCACCAGCCAGCTCCATGCCTAGCACTCGTGTGGTGCACAGTTCTTTAATCACAGCTGGAACCCGAAAGAAGGGGTCATCTGCTAACAGCTGCCTGGAGCAGAAGAGAGGGAATGGGACTTCATGCACTGGGCACCCCCAGGCGGTCTCTGAGAAATCTTTCAGGTCCTCCCCCTCTGTGTTTCTCCTTCCCTCATATCCTTCTCTGGCCTGTCTGCCTAGGGTGATCGCTAACGACTGGCTGAGCTAACATCTAACAAGTGTCCCTGTATGGCCTATTCTATGCTTGTCTTTAACTGGGTGTTACCTGGAACTCACCACTGCTCCAGGATGAGCTCAATGTATTTAATTTATGTATCATTTTTTAAAATCAGTTTATTAATTAAATTACCATGCGTCTGAGGCTTATCTATGCTTCACAGTGAATTTGGTCGGGGTTTTTTTTTTTTGGTACCGGGGATCGAACTCATGACCTCACACTTGCCAGGCGAGTGCTTATACCACTGAGCTAAACCCCCGGCCACTTACATAGTGAATTTAAGGTCAGCCTGGACTACACAGCAAGACCCTGTCTCAAGAAAAAAAATAAATTTATTAGCTGGGTATGGTGGTACACAGCCATAATCTCAGCACCTGGGAAGCTGAGGCAGGAGGATCACTGTGAGTTCAAGGTCAGCCTGAACTGCATAGTGAGACCTTGTCTCAAAACAAAAAGAAACAAAAAAAGTTTATAAGTTAAACTTTACCATAGGTATGCATAGGAAAAAGTTACCCTATATGCGGTTTAATATTCTGCAGGGTTTACACCATCCACTGGGGCTTTGGAGCATGTCCTCCTGGATAGTTTGAGATGCTGTCCTCTGAATATTGGTAAATGAAAGGAAAGAATCCTTGTCTGTTTTTATGCTGGGGAACAGATCAATGCTGAGCAAGCCTTGGCCTGGACCACCAGAGCCCATCTCTAACAGAAAGACCAATTATAAAGTGATGTAAGTGTTAGAGGAAGATTTGGGTCACAGGTGGTAGCACAGGCCTGTCATCCCAGAACTCATCCCAGAAGCTGAGGCAGGAGGAACACTGTGAGGACAGCCTGGATGACAGAGACCCTGTCTCACAAAGAAGACAAATACCCATAAAGAGTAAGATTTGGGAGCAAAGAATACAACTGAGGGTTTTTACTGGGGACTTGAGGAATGCTACAGAGGGGGACCGGACAGGAAGGCCAGGGACAGGGAAATGAGGTGGGTTCTTATTCTTTTTTTTTTTTTTTTTTGGTCTTTTTCTTTTTCTTTTTTAGAAGTACCAGGGATCGAACTCACGACTGCCTGCTTGCAAGGCAGGCACTTATGCCGCTGAGCTAAATCCCCAGCTCCTTGGGTTCTTATTCTTATGGGCTCTGGAGAACCTTGTTGGGAAGGGGTACACCCAGACCCAAATGAAGGAGCACTGGCCCCTCATCCTGCTTTGTCCCCTTTTCCTTGAGGTTCTGCTTTGAGGCTGGGTGTTTCTGTCCTTGGTTATAAGATCTCATTTCATCATCAGTCTCCATTTACACACACGTATACACACCCTGTAAGGACAATCTCGAGGCTGCTGCACGGAACCAGGCTGCCATGCCTGGGGAAGGCTGACTGAGATGGGACACCAAGCTATGGCTCTGGGACACATGCTCCAAAGCACTGACTTCCACTGAGCCCAACACATTCCAGACCTTCAACACATGCTGAGTCACTGTGGAGGATCCTGCTGAGGTGTCACGCATTGTTTTGTGTCACGTACTTCCAAGATATAACCACACTGTTCCACATAGTCACTGCTATAAAACATTCTGCCAATGAGTATACCATGATTTATTTATGCGCCCTGCTAGATGAATGTGATAGATGTGGGTTGTTTCTACTTTGGGGGCTCTTGAAGACAATGCTGCTCTAAGCATTCTGGAAACGTCTGGTTGTATACATTGGCACGAGTGCTTATACAGTATTTAGCAAGTGGGTTGTGAGGAATGTGAATATAAGGCCCTATTTGGTGAGGCCAAACTGCTGTCCGGAATGCTTCTATCTATCACTTTCTCCTCTTGTCCACCCTAGGTAAGGCACTGCCTGCCCTCTCTAATCGCCGGTGCTGCCAGACTGCTCCATTTGGCAGTCCAGTAGGTGTACCTGTACCTCACGGTGTAAATAAGCGCTTAGTCAGACCACAGTGAACATGTGCCCATCCAGAAGAGGAGAAAACTGACACCGAGAGAGCAGTGATGTGTCCATGCTCACAGGGGACACAGGGGACAAGTGAGGGCTCCCTGGGAAGTCTGCTCACCTGAAGCTCTGGGCACAGGCTGCCTCTCGGAGGTAGTTGCATTCCCAAGCCAGCTCCTGCTGCAAGGCCTGCAGGCTCTGCTCAGCAAACAGGCCTAGCCGGGGATTGGGATGGCATCAGCGGGGAGGGGCCGCTGGAGCCCTGGGGGTCCCACTCAGTCTTTTTCGCAGTTGTGTCTCCCTCTTTCTGTCTCTCTTGCTGTCCCTCACTGCTCTGCTCTGGAACTCTTATTGGCATCACTGTCTGCAACGTCCCTCTGTTCTCTCACAGCTATGGTCCATCTACCATCTCTCTCTTGGGTCATCTCTTTGCTGTGCACACATGCCAGCTCCTCCACTGCCACACGATGTTACCTGCTTGGCATCCTGTGCCCCAGGTGTCCCTCTGCTACTTTCTAGCCTGTCTTCCCCCTCCCTTCCTCTCTCAACACCACATACACATACCCCTTTCTGTCTGCCACAGACACACTCTGCCCTGTGCCTTCCCGTGGTTGGGGTGCCTCACCTTCCGGCAGGGCTGTACTCATCTTGAGGACAGCCAACAGGTTCTGTACATCGCTGTGGATGCTCTGGGCAACGCCTGGGTACTGTGGGGTGGGTACAGAAGTCATTCCTCTGGGAGAGCAGGATACCCACCCCACCCCATCCCTGCCCTGCTTGGCCTCCATTCTCACCTGGATCTTCACAGCCACCTCTGTCCCATCCTTTAGCACACCTTGGTGCACCTGCCCAATTGAGGCAGCAGCAAAGGGGACCTCCTCCAGGGAGGGCAGCTTGGCTTTCCAGTCTTTGCCCAGCTCTTCTTCAAGAACTTTCTGTGAGGAGTGGTCATGACAGTCACCATCATGGTTATGGGTACCTGAGCATTTTTTGACAAGGTAATAACCATGGGCTGTGTTCCTGGCTGCTATCCCATTACCATAGAAACTGAGCCTCAGAGAGAAGTTCCTTCCTGTCAGATACTGGAGGCTGGAAGGCCTAGGCCAGCTTCTCTCTCCTGAATCTGTACTTTCTACTCTACTTGGGCAGCTGTGGGAACTGCTATTTAGTTAAGATGGATAAATCTTTGCTTTACTTATATATTATATTATTAACTCAAAATTAACACACTCAAGAATTGCTTCCCATGGGCTCATCCTGTTCGAAGTGGTGCAGAGCAAGACAAGGACCATGTGGGGTCACATGGCAAGTAAGCAGAACAGGCATTGGGAGGGAGGTGGCAGCTGCAATCTGCAGTCCATGCCTCCACCCAGTTATCAGGAAAACAGCTTGTGTCTTGGGCACTTACTCAAGGCCAGGTGCTGTGCCAGCCTATTTATAGATATGATCTCCTTTAATCAAAAACAAAACAGTAATAATCCTTGCTAAAACTTGCATGTCATTTGTGATGTGATAGGGACAGTTTTAAGTACTCCATGGAATGTAAACTAAGGCGCTCTAATATATAAACTGTGTACTAGTTGATGTAACTCTGTGACAGAGGTGTGGCTGCCACTATCTCCACTTCCCAGAACAGGTAACAAAGGCATAGAGACCTTAGGCCTGTGACTGACAGAGAGGGCTCAAACAATAACCACTGTGCTATGCTGTCTCAACAGAGCGAAATCTGTGCCCAGGACAGAATAAAACACTCTGCCTCTTGCTGTCATTTAATCACAGTGATGCTATGGATGAGGTGTGTACTTTGGTGATCCCCATGTTATAGATGGAGAAACTGACTCTCAGAGTCAGAAGGTGTGTGTGTGTGTAATGAGTCTCCTTGCCTGTCTCCCGCCAGGCCCTTACCAGCATCTGCCAGCGGGGCATGAAGTCGGCGCTTTGGCGGACCCGCTCAAAGATGCGTTGCAGCTGGGGGCTGATGAGGCTGTTGTCTTAGGAGACAGTGGGAAGAGGCCCGGTGAGGGAGGTGTGACGAAGGGCTCTGTGTTGAGTCCCCTAAATCAAGGCTTGTAGGGAGGGGGTGGGGTGGGAAAGAGATCAGGTTCAGGAGTCGGGGCTCACGCTGTACCCTGGATGCTGAGCATTTGGCCAACCTTGAGGGCGGCCCCCCGGACTGTACACAAGGTCTGCACGATCCTCTCAGCGTTGGCCTCAGATAAGAAAGGGCTGGAGCCCAGCTGGGAGCCACTTTCTGGGAAGGAGAGAATAAGCCTGATGTTACCACCACAAAAACAGAACAGAACAGAACAGAACAGAACAGAACACCAAGGAAGCTGCCACAATGGCTAAAGTGGAAAAGACAACACCAACAGGTGGCAATGAAGGGCAGCAATCTGGACTCAGACCTGTGCTGCCATGAGCACTGTGGGAAGAGAGAGGGAACTTTCTAGTAAAGCATGTGCCTGTAGTCAGTGCCATTCCCCTCCCAGGTAGAGAAATGTATAAAGTGGCCACCAACAGATAGTATAGAGCGTCCACAGCAGCATTACTGATGCCAGCCCCAAACTAGAAACAAGGAAATGACAATCCAAACAATGACTAAAAATTGTGAAATAGCTTGGTAGGGTGGCACATGCCTGTAATCTCAGCACTTGAGAGGATGAGGCAGGAGGATTACCCAGAGTTTGAGAACAGCCTGGACTACAGATTGCAAGGTTAACTTGAACTACACAGTGAGACCCTGTGTCTCAAGGGAGAAAATTTTTTTTAAAAATTGTGCCACAGTTACAGGATGATTTCTGCAGTATTGAATAAGCAGTCTACTATTACAAATAGTAACAGATGTCTCACAAATATAATGCTGAATAAAAGGCAGGTACAAAGAATACACTATCCAATCACTATGTAGTTCAGGCTGGCCTTTGTAACCAAGGCTGGCCCTAAACTGAGCATTTGGCCAAAGCTGGCCCTCCTGCCTCAGCTTCCTGAATGCTGAGACTACAGGCATGCACCACCATGCCCAGCATAGACAACATCTTTCTATGTAGCTCTGGCTTGTCTTGAACCCACTAGGTAGCCCAGGTTGGCCTCAAAATTGCAGTGATCCTCTTGCCTCAGCCTCCCAAACGAATTATATTTATATAAGAAAACACAAACAAACTACTCATGAGTGTCAGAAGCCAAAACAAGGTCATTCTTGGTGCAGGGAATGACTTGGAGGGCGCAAGAGAAGAGTTTCTAGAGAGTCAGGGCAATAAGTCTCCAAATAGGGTCCTCAGGGTCCCTGAGACCTTTTGGGGTTTTCTGTGAGATCAAAGTACTTTCATCATAATATTAAGATATTATTTGCCTCTTTGTTACTATGTTCCCAAAAATATTCAGTGAGTTTTCCAGAGTTTCCAAGTCAGATGAGGACATCATCAGTTTGAGGGCGGATAGAATGTGCATATGTGCATTTATGCTATGTTTTATAATTTTCAGTTTATAGAGGTGATAGAGATGTCAATTACAGTAATCTAATTATTACACACTGTATCCATGTATGAAATGTCACATGGGGCCGTAGCTGTAATTCATGGTTGAGTGCATGCTTAGCATTCACAAGGCTCTAGGTTCAATCCCAGGACCAAAAAAAAAGGAAGAAAGGAAAGAAGGCTGGACAAGAAGGAAAGAAAGTAAGAAAGTAAGAAAAGGTAGGTAGGTTATACTGTAACCCATAAATATCACATTCAGTATGTGTCAAAAACAACACATGGGGGCTGGGGATATAGCTCAGTGGCATAAGTGCCTGCCTGGCAAGTGCAAGGTCAGGAGTTCGATCCCTGGTACAAAAAAAAAGTATAAAAATAACACATAGGTGGTACATGCCTGTAATCCCAGCACTTGGGAGGCTGAAGCAGGAGGATAAAATGAGTTCAAGGCCAACCTGGGCTACAAAATGAGTTCAAGGCCATCCTGAACTGCATAATGAAACCCTGCCTCAAAAAGAAAAAAAAAAAAAGCTTGGCACAGTGGTGTATGCTTAAAACTGAAGCACTCACAGAGATCAAAGCAGGAACATCACTGTTAGTTCAACGGCAGCCTGGGCTATATAACAAGACCCTGTCTCAAATTAACTAAGTCAATAACAATTTTTTTTTTAAGATTTAAAAATTCCTGGGGGTATAGATTAGTGCAAATGGCTTGGGTTTGACTACCATTACCAGAAAAAGGGAAAAAAACAAAAATCCCACGAAGAGTTTATTGAGTGCTCACCCAGTGCTGGCAGACTTCTAAGTGCCTTTGTGGATTCTCTGACTGAATCCCAAGCATCACCCAAGAATGAACTCCCCACACCTTCCTGTTCAAGGCAAGAACTAAGAGACCCAGGTTCATGCTTTGTCAGGGATGGTACAAGACGGAGTGGCACAGAGGAGTTTAGACTCAGCTTGGCCTTAAGAAACCTCTACTCTGTGTACTGAAAGAAAGCCAAACGGAAAACTGCAATCATAACATCAGGAACACCCTTCACCTGGATTCAGCAACATCTTGCCTCATCTGCTTATCTCCATGTGTGCACCTGTGTGTGAGCACCTACATACTAAATACTGTTTTGCTGAAGTTATACAGTTTCTAAGAATGATGAGGATATTCTAAACACTGTATTATAGTCACACATAAGCGTATTAACATTCATTACCATTATATTCAGATTTTCCCAATTGTTCCCCAAAAATGTTTGTTTTTTTTTTTTTTTTGAGAAGGGATTTTGCTACATAGTCTAGCACAGAGCTCACTATGTAGCTCACACTGGCCTCAAATTCATGATAAGCCTCCTCCCGCAGCCTCCCAGAGTGCTGGGATTACAACTGTGCACCATTCCACCTGGCTCCAAAATGCCTTTCATAGTTATTTTTTTCAAACATCCATTCATGGTTCACATATGCCATCAGTCAATTAAGTCTCATTTTTTTTTTTTTTTGAGGTTTTTTTCCTTTTTATCGGTACCAGGGATCGAACTCACGACTGCCTGCTTGCAAGGCAGGCACTTATGCCGCTGAGCTAAATCCCCAGCCCCCAAGGTCTCATTTTAATCTTTTTTTTTGTCTTTTTCCTTTTTATCGGTACCAGGGATTGAACTCACAACTGCCTACTTTCAAGGCAGGCGCTTATGCCGCTGAGCTAAACCCCCAGTCCCTCTCATTTTAATCTTGACTGTCAGCCCTCACTTTTGTTTGAAAACTCTGACTAGTTGAGGAACCTCACCTATAAATTCTTGACATAGGATTCCATTTCCGGTGTATGCACTTCCCATAGGCACTATTTTCCTCCCTTGCTCAGAGTTCAAAACTCCCAGGGGCTTATATTTTGCTCAGATAATAGATCCTATTATCACAGCCCCGACAGCTGCTTAGTCCTGGTTCTATGCACTTTGCAAAAGCCCAAAGAGGTGAATACATTATCACCCCTGTCTTCCAATAAAGAAATGGGGGCTCAGAGAGATGATACCGCTTAGCCCAGGTAAAGCCAGGATCTGAACCCAGGAGATGAAATTCACTCACCTGACTGTAGGTGTCCTCCTGGCAGGGATTTCTTGGCTACTTCAACCAGTGCTCCCAGCCCCAAGCCAACAGCCAGTCCTGGGAAGTGAGAGAGGACAGAGTGCCTGCTTACCTGGAGTCTTCTCCTCACATCTTATTTCTTTCCTCATCTTCTCTCTCTCTGGTACTGGAGTGCTCTACCACTGAGCTACATCCCAGTCCTTTTTATTTTGATACAGGGTCTTTCCATGAGTTGTCCAACTTGCAATTCCCCTGCCTCAGCCTACTGAGTAACTGGGATTGCAGACATAGACCTCCATTCCTGTCTTCTCAGTCTCTCAAGTTTACCTATCTCTTTTCTCAACTCTCTGCGTCTCTGTCTCTCATTCAGGATTTTATTCTTTTCCAGCTTAGGTTTCCCTTCAAAGTGAAGCTGCATTTCACTTCATCCCTCTTCCACATCTCTGCCCCTCTCCCAGCAGTTCAAAGTCCTCTAATGTGCTTTTGTAGATGCCAGGCCCCATTCCTGAGATTCTGACTGAACTGGTTTGAAATGATACCTGGGAATTTGCAGTAAGCACTCCAGCTGATTCTAGTGTATAATCAAAGGTTAAGAAAGCTCTGAAGTCAGGTGTGGTAGTGCATGCCTGTATCCCAGCACTCTCAGGACAAGAGGATTTCAAATTTGAGCTCAGCTTGGGCAACTTACCTATTTAGCAAGACCTTGTCTCAAAATTAAGAAAAATAAAATAAAGGGCTGGGGATGCAGCTCGGTGTGAAGGCCGAGGATCCATCCCTAGTACCACACATACAAAAAGCCTCCAAATCATTGTCCTTCTGGGGATTCCTATTTTGTTGTCCATAGCTCCTTTCCTCTATGTTTATGCCTCTTTTTCTAATTATTTCAGGTTAGTTTGAACAATCCCAATACATGACCCAGACTCAAGTCACCTCATTTCTCTTAGCCTCCATTTCCTCACCTCTAGAATGGGAAAAAAAAAAAAAAAAAAAAGGCAGTCACCAGTTTAGTACAGAGAGATCACTGTGTAGGGGCCCGGGCACATAACAGTTTCACAATAAACGTTAACATCATTTACATTTCTCTTGGCTTTGCAGGCCTTAGCTTTTGTTCTTCTTTTCCTGGCTCTCCCTCATCTCTCTAGCTCTCATTCATCTTTTTCTTGCTTCATCCTGTAAATGTTGCCTCCTCTAATCTAGGTAACATTCTGATCCTTCAAAGTCACACCTACCCCCAAAGCTGGCCAGCCGACTGATCCGGGAGGCAGGTACCCTGCGTTCTCGAGAGCGGTCACTCAGCTGGGAAACAGGAGAAGCTCTGAGGGTGGGAAGGTGAGGACTACGCCCTGAATCCGACCAAACCACTGCCCACTCCCTACCCGAGATGAGGAGGCCAGTAGCCCTACTAGGGTATTGCTGGGTGAGTGATCTACCTGGGGCCGGGGTGACTTCCTGACACGGGCCTCCCGTGCCTTCCGAATGTCCTCCTCACCCAGGCCTCTCCCAAGTCCATCCTGGTGAATCTTTCGGGATCCAAAACCCCCACAGGGGCCCTGCAAAAGATCTGGACTGTAGTAAGACGTGAGGATGTGGCGTCTCCCTCAGCCATTTATTCTCTGAAGCCTCCAGTAGCCTTTTCTCCTTGAGGACCACCTCCGACCTCTTACCCACCAATGGGGCCTACGCCCCAGAGCCCCACGAAGCAGACCAACATTCCAGCCCAGTTGTCCACAGGTCTCCCGCAGTAGGCTCCCTAGCTCCAGCCACATTGCCTAAGGAAGAACAGGAGGAATCTTTAGGGTAAAAGTTGCAGGGCTGGCTCCCTGCTGTATCCCGCTTCTCTGGAAGGCCTCTAAATTGCCCTGCGTCTGATCTTTTTAAGATTCTTATCTACTACTGACCTTCTTCCCTGCCAAATCCCCACGGCTCCTCCAGGTGACACCCCTCGTTCGTAGAAACCCGCAGTTCTACGTGAGCGCCTCTCAAACCCACACCCCTAGCCCTTCGCCGTTGCTAGGGTTCTCCCTCGTTGCTAGACACCCACAGATCCTCCAGTGCTACCTCTCTACTTCTCGGAGCTATTCCTATGTTGCTAGGCACCGCCTTACCCAGCACGACTAGGCACCCAAAGTCTACCCGCACTCCTCACCCGTTGCTAAGCACCTACAGCTCCAGGACTCCCTAGCCGCGGGTCTCAAGGGCCTCGGGTGCTGCCGGGAAACTGTACACCCGCCCCCTCCGGTCAGTTAGCCAATGGCGGAGCAGCGGCCCTCAGATTGGCAAGGAGCGCGCCCGGCTGTGCGCGGTGGGTGGGGCAGAGATGGGACCCAGATTCCGAGCGTGGTGTCTAGGTGAGCTTCGGGTCCCGCCAGGATTGCTGGGGGAGCACGGGAGCGCGCACGTACCGCCTGGCCCCTTCCACTTGACTCTGAGGCCCGCGCCTGCGGCAGACCTTCTGTTCTTTATTCCGTCTTTCTTGTGCACGTTACTGTCCTGCACAAACGCCACACTTTTCTGCATGAACATTTTGCCAGGCTGCCTTCTTCTTTTCACTCTTGTGTATGGTAGGCTCAACATCTCTCCTTTGAACACATTCTGCTGAGCAAACATTTCCCTTGCACATAGTTTCTTCGCTTTGCACAAACACCCACTCCCTGTCACCCAACCTCCTTCCTTGCGCCTTTAAATCCCCTGCCTTGCTTGCTGTCTGCCGCTCACACCCTCAACTCTCCCCGTGCTAAACCCCTTACTTGCACACTAAGCCTCTGTTCCCTCACACACTCTGCTCCCTCTGCTCCCTGCCCACCTGCAAGATGGCTCAAGTGGGAGCCCTCTGTTTCCTGCAGGCCTGACATTTCCGAGAACACACTCAGCCAAGATTCCCACTGCTGAGTCAGGAACGTTGACATCCCAGGAAATCAGCTTCCAGCCATCTGTGCGCGTGCACGTTGGGGCGACTCACCCTTCTCTTCTGGAACAGAAACAGCTGGCTGGGAGAAACACAGATGTATCCCCAACAGCCACCTGCTTCCCCTGTCAACTCATTTCTGTTGGGAATGAGGGCTTCCTGTTTCTGTGCCTGTACTGTGTAATCTCAGAAGAGCCCTCCTCCCTTTCCAGATTTCAGCTTCCTAATCGGCGGGGAGTTACCAGGTGAGCCCCTGTCTCTGACTTCTTACTGGTCTGAGATGACTCATTCTAGAGCCTTAGGCCCGACCCAGTGTCCTTCCTCTGGGTGACTCAATTTCAAAACTGAATGCACTCTCTTCCCCCTCCAAAGGTGAGGGTCTGACTCAGAAGCTAAAGGCAGTTCACTACTCGGGCAAACTACAAAACACACCTTTGACAAGGAACTCTACCAGACTGTTGCTAAGAGAGCCAAGACTGACATCAAATGCTTTGTAACCCATGAGGTCATATCAGATAGTAGTACCAGGACTCCAAACAAAAGCTAGATGCCGGCAAACCTCTGGGTTTCAGTACCCTCACTTGTAAATTTGGAACTATACAAGCTATAAAATCATGTGATGGCTTCGTACAGAACAAGTACTCTTTACAAGAGATTTTCTACGGAATAGGTTTTCGATTGGAGCATAAGTAACTCGCTCAAGGTAACACGGTTGAGAAGTGACGGCTCTCAAGCCCAATCTGCCCCCTGCACGTAGAAAGGATGCACGGCTGGACTTATCACCAGGGTCTGCGGGGAGGCTGAACTGGTCACTCGAGGGCGTAGGGAGGTTGATTTAATCACGGGCAGTGGGGTTACAGGGAGGGGTCCCCTCCGTTAGCCGTAAGGATCTCAGTAGTAGATCGTTCTCCGGCTTAGTTTGGGGCAGAGACACGCCCCGCTCTGACGGAGACTGGAAGAGCCACAAGACCCCGCCCTTACGTCACGTCCGGCGGGAGGGACTCCGTGCTTTCCCTGGGAGGCGGAGTATCGGTTAACCCCTACGTGGACAGGCGGACTGGAGCTCCGCGGGCCGGAACCCGCGCGTTGGGGCGCCCCAGCCACACCCCTCGCAGGATTTAAAGGGGAAGGAGCGGCCGGCCTGCCGAATCCCGAACGGAGGGAGCGGGCATGAGGCGCTGCCCGTGCCGGGGGAGCCTGAGCGAGGCGGAGGCCGGGGCGCTGCCTGCAGCGGCCCGCATGGGCCTAGAGGCGCTGCGAGGGGGGCGCCGGCGGCAGCCAGGACAGCAGCGACCTGGGCCTGGCGCTGGGGGCTCGGCGGAGCGGCCGGAGGGGGGCGGGCCCTGGGCCTGGACGGAGGGGTCCAGCCTCGGGCCTGAGCCGGAGAGAGAAGGTCCACACACAGAATGCGAGACAGATGGACTGGCTGAGCTCGAAGCAGCTGGCCTAGGAGCAGAGACGGAGAGTCCCGGGCAAAATACAGAGCCAGAAGGATCCAGTCCCCAGACACATCCAGAAAAGAGCAGCCACAGGTCAGAGCTGGAGACTGCCGGTGCATGGAGGGAGACTAGGACAGATGGCTTTTGGGCTGATACACACAGACCTGACCTCCAGTCTCAGGCAGAGAGGGTCAGCATCTGGACACAGCCAGAGGGTGATGAGCCCTGGACAGAACTAGAAATACCTGAGTGGCAGACCCAGCCAGAGAGGGCGAAACCCTGGGCTGATAACCTCTGGACTCATCAGAGCAGGCCCAGCCTCCGGACTTACCCAGAGGGAGCCTGTCCCTCCACAGAACCAACTGCTGATGGCTCTTGGAAAGAACTGTACACTGATGACTGCAGGATGCCGCAGGATACCGAAGGCTCCTGGACAGAGCCACACGCTGATAGCTCCCAGATACAACCAAATACTGAAACAGCCTGGAAGCAGCCTGGCAATGATAGTTTCCCAATACAAGAAACTTATGATGGCTTCTGGACACAAGCTGGGTCTGATGGTCCCCAGACAGGATCAGGAACAGACTGCTTTTTGGAGAAGCCCAACCAAGATGATCCATTAGAGGAAACTGAATCTGGGGAGTTGGTGATTCACCCGAATTCTCACCTGGAGTGCAATTCCCTGTGCCCTGTACCCCGCCTCATCATCACCCCTGAAACCCCTGAGCCTGAGGCACACCCAGCGGAAGTGCCATCTCGGATTGAGGGGGGCAGTGGGGGCTTTTCCTCTGCCTCCTCTTTTGATGAATCTGAGGATGACTTGGTGGCTGGAGGTGGAAGTGGAGGTTCCAGCGATCCTGAGGAGAGGTCTGGGGTGAGTCGGACATATGTGCCCCTGAGCCACACTCCTCATCTTTGTTTGGGAAGTTCTCCATCAGTTTACTCCTAGCTACCTGCCAATGCTTTTGTCTCCAAGAACCTCTTCTGTCTACTGACCTCCTGTGTCTGGGGGGCCAGGTTCAAACCTAGGCCAGTCACCATCTCCCAGCATTCCCTCCTTTCACCTTTCCCCACTATCTCTAGCTCTGGGGTCTACAATGGAAGAACACTGACTGATATGCCCAAGAACCCCCTGAAGTTGCACCATTGCATGAGTCTGTGTGTGTGCACACATAATTGTGCAGTGAGGGTCTGCGACTTCTGTTGAATCCTGAGGAGTCTGTGACTTCCAAACCTGAAGAGCACTGGAATAGGGAGATGGAGTGCATTTTCTTCCCCAAGTAGCACAGTCTAGGTTCTGATGCTGCCTTAGGGGGTTGTAAACCATTCCCAACTTTTAGCCCCTTTGTGTGTTTTTCTAGGAAGTGCAGAGGCTATTGCATTTATCAGATTGTCAAAAGGCTGTGCCAACTCCAAATGTGCAGGGATCATTGACCCAGCCAGGGATTCAGCTGGTGCTTCTGTTGGCTCCCAGCTCCTGAAGTCGCTGTTTGCATCCTCCACCCTTGCCCCTAGGCTGGGTGTGGTTCTCCCCTGGTGAATCAATAGAGCTGGCAGGGCAGGTTAGGGAGGGAGGGTCAGGGCAGACGCAGGTGTGAAGCCTCACGTGGGGCTGGGAGCGCAGTCCATAGTCCTTGATTTGCCTGCTGAGCCAGCCCATGGCACTGGGGCCCCTGGTTGGAGTCTGCCCTGAGCTCCACCTCACCCCACACGCCTCCCTTAGAGATGTGTTCCCACATGTGACCACAGCTGTGAGAAGCAGGCCTGCCTGGACGTGCTGTTGCCCATTCAAAGGAGCTGACCCTCAGGGACTTTCTGCTATTGCTCTTTTTTAGGTGCTCTCAACTGCTTGGCATCTTGGCACAGCTGAGTTGGAAGTGGGTGACTAATAATAACAATAACTCCACAGAAGACAACAACAAACACTCACCTGTGCCCAGCCCTGTACTAGGCTCTTTGGAGTTTGCTAACTCATTTACTATGTAGTTACTGTTAATATTCCCTTTCCAGAGGAGGAAACTGAGGTGCAGGCCTTATGTCACTTGTCCAAGGACCTCACACATTTCAGATTCAAACCCTTCCCATGTACCAGGCACTATCCTAAGAGCTTTTACGTGTTACCTCTTTGAATACTTACAACAACACTAAGCTCTCAGGATTATTATCTCTGTGTTACAGATGAGGAAACAGGCAGTGAGAGGTGATATCACTTGCTTAGAGTTGTCTGAGTCTAATCAGAGCTGGGATCTAACTTGGTTCCACCTGAACTTCAAACCTGTCATTTTAAACCCTGTGCTGTGAAGATCTGTCCCTAACTTGCCTTCTTCCCGGATCTCTCTTCTTTCCTGTTTTCCTCATCCTTCCTGAAGTTGCCTCCATGGTGGGGCTCTGACCAGAAGCTCCCTTGCCCTTGTGCCTGCTGTGCTTCCCTGGGACTTCGTAGCAGTGCCAGGAGCTCAGTGCAGCCTATAGAGCGGAGCCTCCTGGCTGGGGCTTCTTCCCAGACTCTGTGTCCCCTCCGGCCCTGAGCCCTCTGCTCTCATGAAGCCTGAGCACACACCACCCTGCAGATGCCCTGCTGCTGCTTTCTTGCCTCCACACGTTGATCCAGCTGTGCCCACTGCTGTGTGTCCAGCTTCCTTCTGTCTTAATTTTGAAATCCTGTCTGACCTAAAGGCTCGGCTTTCCTTTCCTGTCCTGTCCTTTTCTTTCCTTTCTTGTCCTTTTCTTACCCCTCCGCCCAACACCTGACGCCCTGCTGAGTCTCCTGCCATCCTTAGATGTCTGCTAGGTAGCTGGGCTCTTAGTGTCACAGAACTCCTTGACAGTGTGTGTGTGTGTGTGTGTGTGTGTGTGTGTGTGTGTGTGTGTGGCGGGGGGAGGGTGAGCCACACGACTCCCTTTTTTAGACACAGCCTGCACCCTCAATACCTGCTAAGGGCTGCTGTGAGCCCTGGCAGAGAGCTCATCTGCTCGTTAGCATGTGTATGTGGGTTGGACCCTGTCTTGTCCTAAGTCTTGTTTTCGATTTGCTGCCTTTTTGCTGTCCTAGGCAGGGAACCTGGGGTCTCAGGCATACTATGCTCATATTCTACCATCGAGTTACACCCCCAGCCCTTCTGGTTTTCTATTGCTCTCTCACCCTTTCCACCATTCTCTTACTCTTGCTCTGTTTTTTCTGCTTTGATCCACCCTTCTCTGCCATTCCTTTACATGTGTGACTTTGTCTGTCTGTCTTTCTCTCTCTTTTAACTACTCTGTAGCTGTGTCTGTGTTAGTCAGGGCAGATAAGGATCTGCTGTCATAACAAATAGTCCCCAGAGTTGCTCAGTTTAGAGCAACAAAAGGGCTATGTTTGTTCATGCTCCATGCTGGCCACAGGTCAGTGGTGGGTGCTCGCCGATGTCTTTACTTGGGAATGCACCCTTCTCCACACCCCCAGCGGAGGACTGAATACTGAGGATCATGCAGCAGCCCAGACACCTCCCACCCCAAAGTGAACTTCTGGGCATAGTTCACTGGCTAAAGCAGGTCTGTGGCCTTGGTTCAAGACAGCAGGGATTGCTGGGCATGGTGGCACAGACCTGCAATTCCAGCACTCAAGGTTGAGGCAGGAAGATTGTATGAGTTTGAGGACAGCCCTGTCTACAAAGTGAGTTCAAGGCCAGCTTGAATTGCATAGTGAAACTGTTTTTAAAAAAATAGAAGGCAGGAAATCTCAGGAAGGGGGAAGAGCAGGAGCCAGTTGGGGAACAGTTCTCTCATGACCGCCACAATCTCTAGCTTTGTCCCTGTCTGTCATCGCTTTGTCGGTTTCTGTCTCTGCCTCCATCCCTCCACTCCTGCCTCTGCCTTTGCTCTAGAAGATCTGACCTGACTGTGGCAGAGTTGGACCTTCCATGTTTTGGCAGTATATGTGTTTTGGGGCAGTGAGCAGATTGGGTAGTTTTTTTTTTTTTTTTTTTTTTGTCTTTTTCATTTTTATTGGTACGAGGGATCGAACTCACAACTGCCTGCTTGCAAGGCAGGTGCTTATGCTGCTGAGCTAAACCCCCCGCCCCGATTGGGTAGTTTTTATTGCAACAAAACCTAGTTTATCCGTAAGTCATAAGACAAAGACTGGGAAAGACACAGATTCTAAGAAAACAGTGGCAGAGACAGAGAGAGACAAAGACTTCCCCATCTTTGCTGAGGTCTTTGGAGACCTCATGATTGCTGAATTAAGCTGGGATCACTCCAGTAGGCTTGGGAATAGTGATCCCAGGAAACCCCTTGGTCCTGGAAGAACCTCAACTCTACATTCTCTCTCTCTCTCTTTCTCTCTCTCTCTCTCTCTCTCTGTCTGTGTCTCTGTACTAGTGATTGAACCCAAGGACTTCTCATTGAGCTACATCCCTAGCCCTTTTTAAATTTTTAATTGTGAGACAGGGTCTTGTTTGAACTCGTGATCCTCCTGCCTCAGCCTCCCTACTGCTGAGATTCCAGTCATGTGCCACTATTCCTGGCTCCTTGGTTCCCTCTCGTGGCAACACTCTCAGCTCCTTTCCTCCCAGGCTTTGGCCCTGATCTCACCCTGCTCTACCCTGCACAGAGCAAACCATGGAAGAAGCTGAAGACGGTTCTGAAGTATTCGCCCTTCGTGGTCTCCTTCCGTAAACACTACCCTTGGGTCCAGCTTTCCGGACATGCTGGTGAGAAGTACGGTGATGGGAGGGCAGGGCTGGGCAGAGCACCCGAGCTAGGGAAAAGGCTGCTATCTGGGGTTTAGTTTGCCTGTCTATAAAATGGGCTAGGTGACAATTCTCACCCTGTGGGACTCTTAGGAGAAATACTCAGGCTTGGGCCAGAGCGTTTGTATGTCAGGGTGGGAGTCGTTTCCTAGTGCTGTATTCCGGTGGGTGACAGAAACTCAACTCTGAGACAGACGGGCCTGAGTTCAAATTCTGCTCTATTCAGTATTCATAGTTGACTCTGGGCAGCTCAGTTTCCTTTTCAGGGTATCAATTTCCCTTTCAGTTAATAGAAAACTAATCTTACCTCCTTTGTAGTGTTAACTGAAGTGTTAAAACCCAATGTAGGCAGAGGCAGTGGCACACAACTATAATCTCCAATGGGAGGTTAAGGTTGGAGGATCACGAGTTCAAGACCGCCTGGGAAATTTACCAGAACACTGTCTCAGAATAAAAATTTGGCCACGGGTGGTGACGCACATCTATACTTTGAGAACTCAAGAGGCTGACTCAGGCTGGATTCTCTTGATTTCAAGGCCAGCCTGACCTACATAGCGAGTTCAAATCCAGCCTAAACTATATAGGGAGACCCTATTTAAAAGAAATTTTTATAAATTTTTATTTTGTCTTTTTCCTTTTTATTGGTACCGGGGATCGAACTCACGACCGCCTGCTTGCAAGGCAGGTGCTTATGCCGCTGAGCTAAATCCCCAGCCCCAATTTTTATAAATTAATAAAAAATTTAACAAGGCCTAGCATTGTAGCTCAGTGGTGGCGTACTTGGCTAGCATACATGAAGTCCTGAGTTAAAGCCCCTGTACCATACAAACAGTGTCTGTAGGGGCTGGGGCTGCGGCTCCGTGGGGGAAACCACTTGCTTAGCATGTGGAAGGTCCTGAGTTTAATTTTCAGCACCTCATGAGAAAAAAAAAATATTACAGACACAGGGACATAGTCCTTCGTAAGTGCAAAGTGTGACCTGACCCCTGACCCCAAGTGTGACCCTGACCCCTTCCTGTGTCCTGTTGCCTTCAACAAGCAGTAGCTGTGTACTAGTTTTCTTCCAGGACCTAGCAAATGCCTCCCCTCACCACACAGAAGTATAGTGAGTACCTAGCACATAGCACTTTTCATAAAGGGCTACAGAGTAAATCTGTTAATGAGAACAAGGGAGACTGTTGTAGCCATCTCTGGGGAATATAATCTGAAAATGCAATGTGCCACAGTGAAAATTTGGAATTCCAGCCTACACTCCCTGTCTGCATGGCCCAGGAAATGACAGATTTATAAACTAACTTAAGTGGGTCTTGGTTGGTAGCCCCTTGGAACGCAGATCAACGGTGGAAAGTCATGCTCTCCACTCAGATCTCATGGAATTCCCACAATTGTGAGCTCATGATCCTAATTTACAAAACAAACAAGGGCACACTGTGCTGTGAGCAGAACTCTGTCTAAGCAACAGAGAACCAAAATAGGCCCTTTCCTGTTCCATACCAGGCCAAGATTTTGAGAGGGGAGGGGAGGGAGAGGGCGTTGCTCCCCCTAGATGGTGGCAGCCTGGATAGGAAGGCATACAGGGAGATAAGGGTAGGGAGCTGTTCTCTTTGATCCAGTTTCTGATCCTCTTATTGGCCTGTTGTCTGCAGGGAACTTCCAGGCAGGAGCGAATGGTCGGATTCTGAAACGTTTCTGTCAGTGTGAGCAGCGCAGCCTAGAACAGCTGATGGGAGACCTGCTGCGGCCATTTGTGCCAACCTACTATGGCATGGTGGAGCAGGATGGCCAGGCTTTCAACCAGATGGAAGATCTCCTGGCTGACTTTGAGGGCCCCTCCATCATGGACTGCAAGATGGGTAGCAGGTAAGTCAGGGCAGCCATAAAGCAAGGTGGAGGCCAGGTGGTGATGGGTATTTGTTTTTGTTTGTTTGTTTATTTGTTTTTGAGACAGGGTCTCACTTTGTAGTTCAGATTGGCCCTGAACTCACTTATGTAGCCCAGGTTGGCCTTGAACTCATGGGATCCTCCTGCCTTAGTCTCCTGAGAGCTGGGACTACAAGGTGTGTACCACCACATCCAGTTTTATGTTTTGCTTTTTCGAGATGAGGTCTCACTATGGAAGGCTGGCCTTGAATTCACTATGTAGCTCATGCTGTCCTTGAACTCACAATCCTCCTGCCTCAGCCTCCCAAGTGGTGGGATTGCAAATGTGCCCCTACCATGCCTTGGCTTAGAAGTAGTCTTTATTTTTTTTAAGTACCGGAGATTAAATTCAAGACCTTTGTACTAAATTACGCCCCAGAACCCCAGGCCTTTTAAACTTTTATTTATTTATTTAGAGATAGGGTTTTGTGGGCTGGGGATAAGAGCCTGCCTTGCAAGCAGGTAGTCGTGAGTTCAATCCCTGGTACCGATAAAAAGGAAAAAGACAAAAAAAAGAGATAGGATTTTGCTAAATTGCTGAGTTGACCAGGCTGGACTCAAATTTATTGTCCTCTTGCCTAGCCTCCCAGAGTGCTGGGATGACAAGTACGTAACACCATGCCTTACCTAGAGGTACTTTTTTTTTTTCTTTTTGTGGTACTGGGGATCGAACTCATGACTTGTGCTTGCCAGGCAGGCACTTATGCCACTGAGCTAAATCCCCAGCCCAGAAGTACTTTTAATTTAGCCCAATTTGGGAGCTTTTCTTCTCATGGTCAGTGGACTGATATTTGAGAATTTGTTTGTTTTTGTTTTTGTTTTTTGAGTCAAGTCTCATCATGTAGTATAGGCTGGCCTTTGAGTTCACTATGTAGCCCTGGTTGGCCTTGAACACACAGTGGTCCTCCTGCCTCAGCCTCCCCAATGCTAGGATTACAGGTGTGTGCTACCACTCCTGGTTGGTTGTTTTCTGAGACAGGGTCTCACTGTGTAGCCGAGGCTGACCTTGAATTTGCAGCAGTCCTCCTGCCTCAAGTGCTGAGATTACAAGTGTGTGCTGCCATGATTGGCTTAGGGACATCCTATTGACACAGCACCAGTTACTGCAAAGTCTTCCCCTTTTCGCACTGAATCGCTCTGTCTCCTTTATCATAAACTGGATGAAAGTGCATGTGTATGTGTATTTGCAGATTCTGTCCTATTCTGTCTGTTTGTCCATTCTTGTGTTACACACTAGCTTTAAAATATCATGACTAGCCAGGTGTGATGGTGTATCTCTGTAATCTCAGCATTTGGCAGGGTGCTGCTACCAGTTTGAGCAGCCTGAACTAGCAAGACCCTCAAAAATCCAAATGAATGAATAAATAAAGGAGTGAATGAAATATCAGTGAGTAGAAGTTCTCAGGCTCTGTGCTTTAAGATTGTTTTGGTCATATCCTCCCGTGCACTCAGGACCTATCTGGAGGAGGAGCTGTCGAAGGCACGAGAACGGCCCCGGCCCCGGAAGGACATGTATGAGAAGATGGTGGCTGTGGATCCCGGGGCTCCCACCCCTGAGGAGCATGCCCAGGGTGCAGTCACCAAGCCCCGCTACATGCAGTGGAGGGAAACCATGAGCTCAACCTCCACCCTGGGCTTCCGGATTGAAGGCATTAAGGTGAGGCCGGGGGCTGTCTTGTCCCGAGGTGTCCTGGAGTTCCGTCTGAGGCCAGGGTGCTAAGGGAGTAAGGGTGACAGGGGAGGTTAGAAACAAGCAGATTTAGGGGAGAGTAGGGGTTGGCAGAGAATGGAAAGGTCGGGGCTGTGGTGGTCCCCCTTCTGTCTCAAGCTTGCCTCCTGCGGAGACTTTGGTTTATCTGCCTATCTGAGAGCCTCCTGTCTCATCTCTGTCCCTGCTGCCATGTCCAAATCCAGCCTCCTCTTCTGCCCCAGCCTCCCCAGGGCCTGGGCTAAGTTCCTTTCTCCATCCTCTAGCACCCTAACTGGAGAGGTCATTTTGCCTCTGCTGTGGAGAAGGTTTCTCTGTTTCCTTCTTGCATTCCTTTTTTAAAAAATTAAATATATGTGTGAATAGCTATTCACACAGCTCAGAAGTCAAAATAACGTATGAAAGGGTGCTTGTGGTGAATTTCCTGTCCCAGCTCTGCTGCCACCCTGCTCATTCTGTCCTTCCATCGTCTTGCCTGCTTATGGGGAACTTCTTTGTTACTTTCTTGTTTCTCCCTAAAAATACAAACACATGCAGCTGTGTACCCTTGACTTCTCTCCATCCACACCTGGATGGGCAGTTTGCTTTTTCATATAGCAGTAATATCCTGGAGCGTTTTCCATATCCTTTCATAGAGAGTTCACTCGCTCCCTCCTTCCCTTCATTTTTACAGCTGTATAACTCTCTTTGCAGATGTGCCATCTTCTCCTATGGATGGACACGTAATCTGGTTCCATTTTTGGTCACGTCAGTGCCCGGGTGAATTATCTCATACCTGAGACATTTTGTGAGTGTGTGGGGTTAGTTGTAGACTACAAGAGGAGCTGCTGGGTCAGAGATTAGATGCACCAGTAGTTTTGCTAGAGATCACCATGTTCCTCGTGTTGGTGTCGCACCACTGTGTGTCCTTACGGCCTCACTTCCTCCATCTTGCCTGAGCCATCTTTCTGAGGCACACGTTTGACAACAGCATCCTATCCTCCCATTCAAATCCGTTCCGTGGTTCTCATACTCAGAGGCTTCATGGCCTGGAGAGTCCTCCGGGGCCAGTCCTCAGCTCTTCCTCTTCTCTTCCTCTTTGTGTACCATCAGATCTCGGTGAAGCAATTTCATTTCTTTTTTTGTTTGTTTGGTTTTTGTTTTTTGAAACAAGATTTTGCTATGTAATTCAGGATGGCCTAGAACTCCTGTTAGTCCTCCTGCATCAGCCTCTCACATGCTAGGATTATGGGTGCATACCACCATACCCATTTTATTTTATTTATTTATTTTCGGTACTGGAGATCAAACTCATGACCTTATACTTGCCACTGAGTTAAATCCCTGGCCCACTATTCTATTTTAAACACTTTTTTTGAATAGTTCCAGCTTTTGCAACTCTAGGACCTTTGCATATACTGCTTCCTCTACTGGGAATATTCTTCTCTTTATTGTTCCCCTGGTTGACTCTCAACATTTGTCTGTCTCCTTTCATATCTTGCTTCCTCAGGAAAGCCGTCCCTGATTTTACTTCCTTTTTTTTTTTTTTTTTTTTTTTTGGTACCAGGAATCGAACTCAGGACCTTGTGCTTGCCAGCCCAGTGAGGTGCCACTGAGCTATATCCCTGGCTCTTGTTCCTGATTTTCATCCTAATACATCAGAGCCCCTCTTGAACTCTTCTTAGTTCACCATGCATCTTCGTTATTCTTGTCTTCCTTTATTTCCATGTTGTTCACTGCCCTTGTGCTGCCACGCTAGCTGTGCCCCCCTGGCATCTGGCATAGTATGGCCAAGTGAGCCCCAGTGTGGCTCCTCTGTGTCCCTCTCAAGTGGGAAAAGTCACACTTGCCTCATTTACTACCTGTGTGCTGTGCCCGGCACTGTGATCTGCGTCCTACTTACCTAGGCTGTTCTAATCTTACACCAGTTTTAGGAAGTAGATAACAACACAGCTTGCATTTTCCAGGTGAGGAGTCTGGGGCCGAGGCAGGTAAGGTGATTTGTTTAAGAGCAGCCAGCTGGAAAGGAACAGAATCTCAGCTGAAAGCCAGTCCTTGTCCCTAAAGCCCCACTTCACTGGACTGGCTCCATCGAGATGTTAAGGTTACACTCAGAAGGACAGGCTGCTCTGGAGGGTGATTTGTGGCCAGGCAGGGCTGAATCTCCCTGAGAGGCAGGCATGTGTGGCAGCTGGTAGGTGGCCCTGGCAGGTGACAGACGTTGCTGGGAAAGAAGAAGTGTGACAGTGCCGCTTCATTCCTTGCCCTACAGAAAGCCGATGGGACCTGTAACACCAACTTCAAGAAGACACAGGCACTAGAGCAGGTGGCGAAGGTGCTGGAGGACTTTGTGGACGGGGACCATGGAATCCTGGTGAGTGGAAGCCCATGTCCCAGATGTAGCTGTTAAAGACAGCTACCATTGGGGCTGGGGATTTAGCTCAGCGGCATAAGTACCTGCCTTGCAAGCAGGCAGTCGTGAGTTTGATCCCTGGTACCGATAAAAATGAAAAAGACAAAAAAGAAAATGGAAAAAAAAAAAAAAAAAGACAGCTACCATTTAATGTTGCTTCTAAGTCAGCGGCCATTTGTCTCAGGCTGGGTGTGGCTGACCCTGGCTGGCTTAGCTCATGCAGTCCACAGTCAGCTGTTGGCTCCTATGGCCAGCTGGTTTGTGAGGCCTGGCTCATGTTTGCCTGTTGGCTGAGGACTTGGCCACCTGTCTCTCCTGACCCATCGGCTCGCTTGGCTGCTTCCCACTATGAATCAGGGAGTTAAGAGAGCAGGAAAAGTGCAAGAGCTCATTGCCAGGGTTCAGAATGGCTACGTCTTCCTGGCATGTGGTGCATGCCTGTAATGATAGCACTTGGGAAGCTGAGGCAGGAAGATAGCCACAAGTTCTAGGTCAGTCTACAATATGCAAAAGAGACTTGGTTTCAAAAAGCAACAACAGCTGGGCATGGTGGCACATGCCCTATAATCCCAGCACTTAGGCAGCTGGGGCAGGAGGATTGCTGTGACCAGCCTGGGCTATATAGTGAGACTGTCTCAAAAAACTAAATGCCCCCCCCCCCCAAAAAAAACCCCAAAACAAAAAACTCAAAACAATAACTACAATGACCATGTCCTGTTAGCCAAAGCAGATCATAGTATATAATGCAGCTCAGCTCACAAGAAAGGGGAAACAGACCCCACCTCTCTAGGTGCAGCTGGTGGGATTGGGGATGTTCATGTTATCTGCCTTACTCTTTTTTTTTTCTTTTTATTGGTACTGGGAATCAAACTCACGACCAGGCACTTGCAAGGCAGGAGCTTATGCAGCTGAGCTAAATCCCCAGCCCCATATCTGCCTTACTCTTGTATGCCATTTGATGAATCCCACTTCTCCACTTCCCCGTTGCTCACCTGACCCTGCATGGCTGGAGTCTGCCCATGCCTTTGGGGTACAGGGGAGGTCAGATCTTAAGGTGGCTCATGAGGTTTCTGTGCTAATTGAGGTTCCCCCTCCACCCAGGGAAAGTACGTGGCACGCTTAGAAGAACTTCGAGATGCTCTGGAGGACTCGCCTTTCTTCAAGACCCATGAGGTACGAGCCCTGGCCACCACGGGCATATGGAGGGGATGTGGAGGTGCAGGTGGCACAGGGGGAAACTGTTCACAGACTCACAGATTAAAGGCAGGCCTGTGTTTCGGAACCCACTACAGGGCTTTTCAGGGAGGTGGGACAGATGGGAGTAAGAGTTCAAACCGGCTGGTGTAGGGCTGCTTCTGTTGTGACCCTGTGTGTGACTTACCCTCTTAGGCTCAGTTTCCTCCTCTCTGACATGGGCAGGCAAAACAGTGCCTCTTTTCAGGGCTGCAGAGTGGGAGAGGGCCACTGTAGAGCAATGTTTGTGGCATATTCTGTTCTGTTTTGTGGTGTTGGAGATGGAACCTAGGGTCTCACATAGTAGGCAAGTGCTCTACTACCGAGCTAAACCCCCAGCCCCATACAAAGGCATTTACTTCCCCTTCCTAAAGTTATTTTATGATCGTGATTATTTATAGTTATTGTCACATGCTTCCTTTGGTGGCTCTTGCCACCCGTCTCCTCGTTCCCAGCCTGTCATCCTTGGGAAACAGATCCTCTGAGGCTGTGATGTGGTGGCATTGTCCCTGTGTGTTCTCTCCTCTCCATGATGCTCTGTCTGTCCCTTCAACACTTTTGTTTTGTTTCAATTTGGTTTTGTTGGGATAGGGTGTTGCTATGTAGTCCAGGCCAGCCTTAAACTTGTGTTCCTCCTGCCTCAGCCTCTGGAATGCTGGGATTACAGGCACATTCCACCACGCCTGGTTCCCCTTTCCTCTTCTTTCTGATGTCAGTGGCATTGACTTGGGATCCGGAGAACCCAGGCTGAAACCCCTATCCTTTTGCCTGGAGGCAGCCATTAGGAGGCCTCCGTGTCTCTCCTTGTGGACTGGGTGATGGCTACTCTCGCTGCTTTAGTAGTATGAAGGTTAAATTAGAACCCTTCCCACAGCAAACCACCAGGACATGCCAGGTGTCATTATCATGTTTGTTTTTCATGGAATATCACCCTTATTCTTCTCTCTGCCTTTGGGCTGCAGGTAGAAGTCACTAAGGAGTTGATCCGGTGAACCCATCTCTGCTATATTTTTCCTTGTGATTTAACATTGCAGTTGCTACTGTTTAAAAGTGCGAGACTCAAATAAATAACATGTGAGACTCCTTACCAAATCAGGATTTCTAGCTTTCCTTGCCACCCCGGGAGACACGGGAACCGGGGGCTGTCTGCCTGATGCCTTCGGCATCCAGAGCCACACAGTATCTACCCCTCTGACAGGCATCTGTGCACCCAGCCAGGCCCTCGGGTTTAGTGGAGCTATGTTTGAAAACTGCTTTAGAAAAAGGGAAGGGCTTGCAAACCTGTCTTTAGATGAAGCAAAGGCAATGACTGTCCTAAAAACAGTCCGACCAAACAAGCAGCATCTATCGAAGGGCACTGTGTGCCAGCACCGGGAGGCACTTTATGAAAGCACAGGTAACAGGATTCTGCCACCCTCCCCATTCTAACGGACAGGAAACTGAGGCCCACAGAAAAAAAGCTACTTGTCCCACTTTAGCAGCATCCAGTCCACTAGGCCTTGAGAAACTGCTCCCTCTTTCTGAGGACATTACCTAATTCATTAGTTCTTACCAAACTCCCTGACCCATGCCGGATCCTAAAGGCATTTGAGGATGCACCCTGGCTGAAAAAAATGGTAATGGCCTGGGGGTGTCGCTTGGTGTTAGAGCATGTTTTGTTGTAGGAGGTCCCAGGTTCAATCCCTAGCACCAACACAAAACAGAAGGATAATAGTTAACATTTGGTGTATATTTTTAATGTGCCAGACACTTTTAAATGCTTTATGTGGGTTAAAGTTTCCCTCTTCTTTCCTTTTCTTCCTTCCTTCCTTTTCTTTCTCCCATCTTTCCTTCCTTCCTATGATCTTCAGATCCATTCTGGGGTAAATGCTACTGTTATTCTCTTACTTGCATATGAGGACGCAAAGCCATAAAGAGCTCAAAACACCTGCCCAAAAGCTGCACAGCCAGGAAGTAGCAGAGGGAGGATTTGAATTCTGTTAAGGGACATACCTCCACCTGTATGCCTGCCAGTGTCTGCTCCTCTGCTGATGCCAATTTCTCCCCTGCAGGTGGTTGGCAGTTCCCTCCTCTTTGTGCACGACCACACTGGCCTGGCCAAGGTCTGGATGATCGACTTCGGCAAGACAGTGCCCCTGCCTGACCACCACACGCTCACCCACAGGTTGCCCTGGGCTGAGGGCAACCGTGAAGATGGCTACCTTTGGGGCCTGGACAACTTGATCCGCCTCCTTCGGGGCCTGGCACAGAGCTGACCTGCTCAGCCATTGCCAGGCTTAGTTACAGGATTGTGCCCGTCTGGCTGCAGCAGCCCCGTGATCTCTTGGAGGCCTCAGGCAGGTGATGGAAGAGGCCATGCTGTGGCATATGGCCTGTGTGGGAGGTCTAAAGAGCCTTGGTACGCTAGGCAGCTTCTGGCTCCTTCATGATCCAGGGAACACAACCAGGTGGGGTCACTGTGAGCCAGTGGAACCACAACAGGTCCCCTGACCAGCCAGGAAGGCTTCTGAGGCACTGCCAGAGGCTGTAGCCAAATCATGCTGCCCTGAGAGCACAAGTCGCTGTCACCACACAGACTTGACACTGCCCACAGCCATATGAATGACTCAGAGCTGCCTCCTCAGTCCCTCCTGGCTCCCAGCTGGCTCCTTGAGTGCAGGGCCTGGGCAGCCTGTCTTGGTGTCCCAGGTACTAGGCTTCAACCCTGAGTATGTGCAGGAGCCACCTGTCCACCTGGGAGTGACAGCACAATCTCTGTTGGAGGCCTCCCAAGTGCCAAGTGGTGGGTATGACACATGAGATGCCTGCTGACACTGCCCAGGGCTGATGTCCCGGGGTGGGGCACAGCTCATGGCCTCTTTCCTGCCTTGCTGCAGCCTGGGGGGACTTCCTTCAGGAGACTGCTGACCTGCTGCAGACCCAGACCTCAGCCTCACCCAGCCTGGGTGCCAGCGTTGTGACCAGTACAACCTCATTGTTCGGTTCATCACATCCAACCTCAGGACTTCCCCCTTCTGCCCCTGAGCCTTGGGCTCTTCTGTCTCCTTCCTCCTAGCGGACTGCTGCAGCAGAAGCTTCCCAGGCAGGAGAAATGTGTGTCTTTTTGGGAATCAGAGGCACCTTACTGAGGGTACCTCAACCCATTTCAGAGAAGAGTCCTCTTCCAGGGAAAAGTACCTGGTTGCATGTAGCTGTGGCTGTCACCTTGGGATTGCCACCAAAGACTCCAGCACTCGGGTACGGTATATGCACACTTGGTCCAGTGCTCTAGCACTCATTGCTCTGGCGTCCTGTCCCACGTGTGGGTTTAGGGAGGACAGGACAGGCATTGACCTATTCTCCAAGCTGAAGCCTTAACTTTGTCTTCCAGGGCTGAGGAAGATCCTCCTTTTCTACTGACCATCTTTGTACTTATTTATAAATGTGTGAGGTAGTTGTTAGATGGGTTATTGGGAGATCTGGAGGCAGATTGCTTCTTTCACTCTTGCCTCCCGCCCAAAACATGCTAATAAACGTTAACACTCAAGAGTCAGTGTTGTTTCTTCCCTTCTGTCTGGATGTGTAGGAGCAGTCATGCTCCTGGCCTTAGCACTGGGTGTGGTAATGGGATAAGGATCACCTTGGGACAGAGCAGCAGGCTTGGAGCCAGCAGTTTCATTCACTTGGCATCCACTGAGCTGCTTGTGCCTGGCTCTGTGCTGGACAACACAGGGGACACAGTCGTGAAGGAGATACTCCCAGCCCTGCCCTCGTGGGCTCCTGGGACAGCTCCAAAGCATCAAGGCTGAGATGGGGTCATACCTCTTCTTTATTGGTTAGGACCAGTACACTGTACAGTTTCCCTAAGTGAGACCCTTTGCTGGGCACTGGGAACACTGCAATGACCAAGACAAGATAATATTCCCTTTCCAAGTGGAGGTGACTGCTACTCATTAATGTGAGAACCACAACGTTCACCATGTAGCTGTACCTTTGTTTGGACACACAGAGGAAGAACAGTTTTCGGTCAGCTCCGTAGTGAGGTTCAGGGATCCACAGATAGTCCAGCTGGTGACCAGAGGCTATTTGTTCTGAATCCTAATCCTGCCACTTGCTAGCCATGTGACTTCAGGGCAGTGACCCAACTTCTCCAGATCTTAGTCATCGGTCAAATAGGAGGGGTGTTATGGTGTGACCCCATTCCCCAAAGTTCACCTGCTGAAAACCTAAATCCCCCAATTCATGGGTTGATGGTATCTGAATAGGGTCTCTGCGAGGTAATTAGGATTAGATGAGGTCACTGGGGTGGGTGGCTCCACCATGGCAGCAGCGGGCTTTCTAAGAGGAAGGGACCCAAGCTAGCTTGCTTGCTGACAATGAGAAAGCTGTCCCCGTGCTCTGACTTCTCGGACTCCAGAATGCTGAGGTCTCAGGGATTTTGTGCAACAGAAAATGTCCTAAGACGGGGAATCTAGTACCTCCTGTACAGGGCGGAGTTCTTGATGAACTGACACTGGAAGAGTTGTGCATGTAACTGCTTTAAAACCCGTATCTCAGGGCTGGGGATTTAGCTCAGTGGCATAAGTGCCTGCCTTGCAAGCGAGTGGTAGTGAGTTAGATCCCCGGTGCCAGTAAACAAACAAACAACCCCTATCTCACAAGCACAACCAGAAGGTTGATGGCAGCCTGGGCTGAGGATCTCTTCCCTGAGGAAGTGATACCAGAGTCAACATGGAAAAGTAGGAGTGACATTCAGCACGGGCTGGGGCGGCCTGGCCATCTGGGGACCTAAGAGGCGGGCACTGCAGGGGGCAGAGGGTGAGGAAGAACTTGGGCCAAGGAGAGTGAAGCTGAGGGAGGGTGGACTTCATGAGGTGCCAGTGGCTTACATGTGGTCTCCAGAGAGAGATGTGGACAGGACACAGGGTCTGTTTGCTACCAGTGTCTCCCTCTATAGAGGGCTCTGCCAGTACCATTCCTGGAAGAAATGGCTTGGAGATGGGATGGATGGGGGACCCTCAAAGATCCAGCCCAAACTTGTAACTGCTGTACAGGCTGAAAAGCTGGGACACTAAATGGTGACAAAGCCAAGCTGGGGACAGATGCCCCAGCCCCAGCTAGTGGCTCTACTCCTGTGGTCTGAGGAGCAGAGCCTGGCCACAGAGGCCAGCCTGTACCCCACCAGGGGGCACCACGTACACCCGCCCATCGGCAGCCCTGGAAGGTGAGAAGTCTGTTAGCTGCAAGTTGCTGTCCCGGACTTGGTCATAGTCCCACAGCTGGTAGTGCCAGCTCTTTCCTTGCTTGCAGAGAAGAAAAATGGCTCCTGAGGAGCTTTCCTCAGGTAAGAGTGGAGGCTGGCACGGTGTGCTGGGCACTGGGTGGAAGAGACCAGGCAGCTCCGGGTCCTCAGCATAGCCAAGGTGTGGCACAGCCTGCACACCCAGCAGGACACCTGGGAGAGAAAGAGGAGATGAGTTGCAGGTACTTGAGTCACCAGCAGGTGCTGGAGCTCCCTGAATTTACCACTGCAGCCCTCTGGGGCAGAGACTGACTTGATCCCCACCACACAGACAAGCTAGTGGGGGGCAGTGGGCACACTGCCGGGCTGAAAGGGGACCCAAGGGCCTAGGCTCTAAGTTGTAGGCATTTTAAGTCCTGCAGCCCACAGTGCAGGGGAGCTGGAGAGGTGGCATTAGATGGTGTGGACACTCATCTCAAGCTGTCCAGGAGGGAGATGCTCAGGGAAGAGCTCTTAAGGCCACACAGCCATGAGAAGGCTGAGCGAATCTCTACTGTGCTTTCCTCCTGACCTTTTTTCAGGCAAGTGGCATGATGATGACAATGCTGGTGATATTTACTGAGATGTGTATCATCCCAAACAATGTTCTAGGAAATGTTATAAGCTTTGCCTATAAGAGTACTTTATGAGCCAGGTATGTGATCCCAGCACTTGGGAGGCTGAGGCAGGAAAACTGAAGCCCAGCCTGGGTACAAAGTGAGTTCAAGAGCAGTCTAAACTACATACTGAAACCCTGTCTCAAAAGGACAAAAAAGACTGCCTTATGTGATGGGTATGAATGTCACCCTTGATTTCCAGATGGGAAACAGAGGCCCAGAGAGATGAAACTTGCCCAGAATTCACAGGGTCTGGAAGTGACCGGGCCAGGACTGGAACCAACTCTGTGGCTTTGAGTCTGTCCTGCCTGTGGAAACCCCTACTGGTGGACACCTGAAGCACGGTGGGGCCAGGTGTCATGTTGAGTACCTTGTGGGGACACAACCTTGGTCTGTGTATGGCCTGGCTGTGCAGGGCTGAGAACATGAGGAGGGCTGATGGGGGCTGGGGAGGAGGGAATGATGCACAGGGCCAAAGCGGGGGGCCTTACCTGCGCTGACTGCCCAATGGGCCTTGTGGCCCTTCCGCTCACACGGCTCGTGGTTGAAGTCTTCATCATAGCTATGCTAGTGTTAAGGCAAGAAACTGGGCTAGACCTAGGACCCGCTCTTCCCGTCTCCTGCCTGCCCTGCTCTCTCCCTACCCTTGGGATACGGGATGAGCAGGGGATGTCCAGCGATGAGGTGCTGCAGGACCAGGTCTCTGTTGGGGCCACCCAGGCCATTGCGGAGCAGCTTGGCCTGACAGCCCAGTGTCTCCTGGGCCAGCCTGCCCATGTCAGCCACTGTAGGTGACAGCACACAGAGACACAGGGCTCACTGGCTGCCCAGCATCACTCCAGGGGCCAAGCAGGATCCACATTTCCAAATCTCACAATGCCCAGCCTCCCTTTGATACAACGCAGAAAGTGAGGGACGGAAGGGGTCAGCTGCTTGTCCACAGCCATAGTGAGGAAGTGGCACAGCCCAGGAAGCCTGGCTCCAGACTTTACCAAGTGACCGCCCTGGCCTAGCAGGCAGTGGTAGGGCACAGATTTGGAGAATGAGACCCCCTGACATGCCAGCAGCGCCCCACCTGGCCTCTCCAGCCCCATTCCAGGAAAGAACCAAGGAACATGGAGCCTCCCCTCTGCCAACTCACCAGAGAACATTTCTCCCTGCGCTGTGTAGCCTCTGTCCACAGCCACCTGCACAAGTCTCTCCAGGGGGACACCACTGGGAGGAGACAGGAGAGTGCTTGCCATCCACAAGGCCACCAAACCACACCTGGGAGAGACAGGCCCAGAAGCTGTAGTAGGGGGACCAGGTTCCCTCCCTGCACCTAGGCCAGATGGGGAGATCTGACTCCCCTTCATGGGAGAAGGCCCCGAGTTCAGGGCTGGAGGGTGGGGTCTGAGGTCACCTGGGCTTCCAAGGAGTCAGTACCAAGGTGGGGCTACACTGACGGAGCAGGTTCATCTGTTCACCTCCTGAAGGTCACTTGCTTGCTCACTTGGGTCACCCAGCACGCTGCCGTGGAAGCACCCCCAGCCCCTCTACACACCAGGCTGTGGATGAATGCCCCTCCCTCACCCTCCTGGCTCAGTCATCAGGAAGCCCAGAAAGTCAGACGGAGGGCAGCCAGAGGGACACATACTGAGGGCCTTCTTGGATGAGCGACGGCAGGTCAGCACAGAAGAGGATCCACTGCAGGTCACTCCGGAACCTGAAGCAGAGCCATACTTGGGTCATGAGGAAACAACTCTACATTCCTTGAGATCTACCTGGAGCAGGTGTCCAGGTACTGGGAAGGGGACACAGGCCTGGCTGTCCTAAGGTTAAATGGCTGCTAACTTGTCTCCTGGCAAGGCACATCGCCTTCCTGAGCCTCAGTTGCCTTATCTGGCATTGGTGGGGGTCATCATGTATTGAAGAACAAAGAATAAGTGTTCAAATTTTGTAACGCGTGGTTAAGAGTTACACGAGGACATTTCTCAAGGGGGTACCTTATGCCCAAATTCAGCGATTATTTTCCTCCCTTAAATCTGTTAAACAGGGCGTGGTGGCAGCTACACCCGTGATTCCAGCACTTCTGAGCCTGAAGCAGAGGGATTGCTGTGAGTTTGAGGTCAGTCTGCACTACAAAGTGAATTCGAGGCCAGCCTGAACTGTATAGTGTTACAGCCTCAAAATGACCAAAAAGATAAATTACTGTATGACACATACTTGTCACATGGTAACAGATGTTCCGTTATTTGCATTCAGTTTGTCTTACTATGGCTGGGGCACTTAGGACCAATTATAAACATGGCTGGAGGGCTGGGGAGTTTCTTCTTGAGTCTGCCAAGACCTTCTACTATCTTCTCTAAATTAACAGCCCAGGGTGGAACCCCAGGTGGGTAGGCAGGGGGATCCTACCGGTCCTTGTGCAGCTTCAGGAGCCTCTTCACATCTTCTCTGCCCTTGGGGTTTAGGCCTACCTTCTCCAAGGCCTCCTTCAGCAGCCAGCTCTTCTCCAGGCCGTAGACATGAGGGGGAGCAGCCCTCGTGGTAGGGGGTGGAGGCAGTGGAGGTGGTGGGGGGACAGGAGTTTGAAGACTGCAGTGAGTTAGTGGAAAAGGTAAGTCCAAAGGACTTGGGACTGGGGAAGGAGATGGAATGACAGGTTGGGGTGCAGAGGGTCTCAAAGAAGGGACTGAGGATTCCAAGGGAGGAGAGCATGAAGTCATTTTGGTGTCTTCAGAAGAGATCGCGGGGTTGGCAGGAATCCCCAAAAGGTTTTGTCTCAGGGATGGAAATTTTAGAACCTAGTTCCACAATTTGGGAGCTGAGCAGTGGCGTTTAAATAACCAGAGCTAAACTTTGAAATCACAGGAACAGGAACTAGGATTAATCTAATTCACAAGAAACCTGAGAGTCAACAGGGTGTTTAAATCCAGAGTGAGATTTGTGGTCTGGGGAGGCACTGTGGTTGGAGGCTTAGAAAGGTAAATTTTGAACCTCTTGTCTTAGTTCTCTGGGCCTGAATTTGTAAAGTCCCTGAGTCAATTTTGGGATATCAAGACTCAGATCTGTAATGAGATGCCTAGGGAGTGAGCCTTACAAGCCTAGAGCTAGTGATGGAAAGTGTTTATAGATTGTGTTCTTCCCCCCAATCCCAGGCCTGAGTAATGAAACCAGGAGCTGACCTTTGAGCCAGAGGTTAAGAGGTCAAAAAGGACATCAGGAAAGGAAAATGACCCAGGTGTGGATAAAATCCTAGAACTCGCAACAGGAAGTCTGCGTGTGACAGAAGGCTGCGAAATCTGAGGCCTGGAGTATCCGCGATACTGCGAGTTTAGGAAACGCAGTTTAGAAAGTAGAACCGCTCCGCACTTGGATGCAAAATGGCGGGCCCAGCATACCGCCTCTCCCGGATCACGTGGTAGAACTAGCAGCGCGTGCCCGTCCCTTTGACGATCACGTGACAGAAAATAAGTGGTTTCTGGGGAAGAGGTGGATCTTTCTAGCAACTGCCTCCGGAAGAGAAAAGGGCGCTACTTGCATCGGGTTGGTTGGAAACTCTTGACCTTTGCTGATTGGGCCTTAGGCCTGGTGACGTAAGGACCTGGGGCGGGGTTTTACCGCTGAGGCGGGAATCCCAGAATCGTTTTGATTGGTAAGCGGTCAACCCAGTACTAAACTTACTCTGATTGGTTGAGCTACAGAATTTCCGCCCGGGGATTGGCTTGCAGGAAGATAAAGGTGGGACCAGGAACGGAAACGTGGTCTGGTCTGAAGAATTTGGCTAGCGTTCTTCGCTGGCGTGCGACTCTGTTGGGTGAGTTACCTTAGGTGGGTATGGCCGCTGATGCCATAAAGGTGGGAAGAGCATTATACGTATTTTCAGACCTCTGTTTGCAACGTATGGAGAGATTGTTATTGTTGTGCGAGATTAGGGTGTCCTAAATTTGTCCCGGGTTTTTTTTTTTTTTTCTTATCGGTACCGGGAATCGAACTTAGACCGCCTGCTTCCAAGGCAGGTGCTTATGCCGCTGAGCTAAATCCCCAGCCCCTGTCCCGGCTTTCTTAACTGGCTCTTACATCCGGGTTTTTTCTCTCCCAACTTCGGGCGCGTGGGCCAATGAGGATCGCCACTGGGGACGCTCTGCCTGCTGGGCCGCGTTAGGCATCCTGGGACTCGTAGTAAGCTGGAGATTTCGCTCGGCACGCGGGTGGGAGAAGCAGAAACCAACGCTACGCACGCTTTGTTCCAAACTGCGCCACCCTCTACCAAACTCCGGCAATAGCAGACTTTGTCTTGGAAGGAAGATACTGACTTTAGGAAGTCTAGGGCTGGAACGGGGAATTTGGAGAAATTCAGGGCTAAAGTCGTCTTTTTCCTCCTTTAAGCCGTACCATGGCAGTTCCTGAGACCCGCCCCAATCACACTATTTATATCAACAACCTCAATGAGAAGATCAAGAAAGATGGTGAGTTCTCGGTATAATCTGGATTCTTGGTTGCCCCTCATGAAGTAACCTCTTTCTAACTCTTTTTTTTTTGGCCTTTTTCATCGGTACCGGGGATCGAACTCACGACTGCCTGCTTTCAAGGCAGGCCCTTATGCCGTTAAGTTAAACCCCCAGCCCCTTTCCAACTCTTAAGATATGCGCTTTCTCAGACCTGTCCAGCCAAACTGCTGGAGTTGATTGCTTGGCCTTTGTACAGACAGTTTCCAGAGTATTCAGCACGCCCTTAGTTCATTTTACACTTCTTTAACCTGGTCACTGTTGATGGAGTAATCCTTCAGGGTTTTAGCTCACAGACCCCTTCCCTAGGAATCCTTCTAGCTCTCTTCCCCATCAAGCCCAGTCATTCTCCTGTCTTCGTGCACTCTTCCTGGTTGGCCGGTGAACGCTTTCAGGTTAGAAACTTGTGGCTGACTTGGTCATTTCGGTATACTCAACAGTCAGCTCATAATGGAAGTGTATGCTAGTAATGGTGGATAACATTACCTGGGGCAGATTTGTGCACTTTTACAAATCTTGATTATATTTAATTCTCACAAATTTGTAGGGGAATGCCATTATTATTCCCGTTTCTGAGACTAGGAAATTTGGCGCCCAGGTGGTCAATTTGCACTAGGTCATACATTGAGGAAAGTGGTTGAGACCATAAGTACCATAAGTATGAAATTCTTGTATAGAGTTAAAAACTCAATTCTTAGCTGTGTATTTAGCTCAGCGGCATAAGCACCTGCCTGCAAGTGCGAGATCATGAGTTCAATCACTGGTACAAAAAAACCCCAAAAAACAAAAACTCAATTCTTAAGACCATGCCTGTGATCTCAGCTACCTAACATGCTGTGACAGGAGCATCCCAAGTACCAGGTCAGCTTGGACAATTTGGCAAGACTCTTGCCTCAAAAATAAAAACCATTGGGAGGCTGAGGCAGAAATATAGCAAACTTAAAGCCAGCCTGGGCTGCATTATGAGTTCAGGACCAGCCTGGAGTACATAGTAAGACCCTGTTTAAAAGAACAAAACAAAACATACAGAAAACAGTATAGTTCCATATGAGGCTCTGGGTTGGTCCCTAATACTGTAAAAATGCACTCAATTCTTGCCTAGGGATGGATTCAGCTACACTCAACCAAAACTCAATTTTTGAAATCAGAAAGGTTTCCATTTTCTCGAGTAATTTTATCACCTTTAATGAACCTCATTTTCTGTATCCAAAAATTGGGCAAAGTCATAATCCCCCTCTCCTTTGTTTGGGGATAGAGGCCTGCTGTGTATATAGTTCATGCTGGTGCTTTGAACCTACTGTGTACCTCAAGCTGGCCTTGAACTCAAAGGAATCCTCCTGTCTCAGCTTCCTGAGTGCTAGGATTACAGCTATGCAGGAGGTCAAATTAGCTTCATCTCCCTGTGGTGCTTTTTAGGACACCCAGCAATGAATGAACGCTAGCCCTTGTTACCTCAGGAATGAATGTTCGCTTTTCTTACCTCAGGAAAACAGTCAGGAGCTTGTTGGGATTGAGTTTGAGGTTTTTAGTTAAGTTGCTGTTGAAGAAAACAAAACTAGGAATGTGAATTCTGCATGCAATTTTAGAATGTGGTGTCTAACCAGTATGGGCAGTGCCATGGACACAGCATTGATAACTGAGAGCCCTGATCTTGCTCTGCCAGAGAAGACATCAGGGCCATGACGGGAGTTGCATCGGCATAGGGGCTATGCTGCTGCTGGGGGTCTGGAAAGACACATTGATTTGACTTGATAGGAAAGAGACATTTTTGAAAAGCCCTAGGTGTAGAAGCATTAATTCCATAATTATGAAGTAGAAGAAGAATTTTGCCCCCTGCTATTTTTTGAGAAGGTCTTACTTTGTAGCCTAGGCTGGCCTTGAATTTGTTATCTTCCGCTTCCTGAGTGTGGGATTTATGTATGATGTGTGCCACCACACGTGGCTATATTTTTTGTTTTGAGATACTGGAGATTGAACCCAGGGCCTTGCTCATTCTAGGTAAGCAGTCTTGCACTGAGCTACATCTTCAGTCCTTTTATTTTTTGAGACAGGCTCTTGCTAAGTTGCCCATGCTGACCTCAAAACTTGTGACCCTGCTACCTTGGCTCTCCATGTAGCTGGGATTACAGGTATGAACTTTTGCACCCAGGAAGTTGTTTTTATTTGGACCAATGTGTGCAAATATCCAAGGGTAGAAAATCATGGGGTGTTCTGGGAATTCTAGTTCGGTGGAGCCAAGGTATTGAGGCCTGTAAATGTGTGAGAGAACATTGATGGCTCCTGGGGTCTTTTGGACCTGGCAGGGGCATGGAACTCAGTTCTTCCCAGTTACAGAGAGTAAATTTGAGTGGGCAGTAGGGTAAGCTGCAAAGTCAGGAGAAAGGTCCGAAACGGGAATAACTGAGATCTGGACTGGGTTTGATGGAGTGAAACAGGGAGAAAAAACCCAGATATGTTCACACCAGAAGAATTATTAAGATTACTTTAAAACACCTTTGACCCTGATATTATCCCAAGTCGACACATACATATTTTCTTTCCTTTTTGGAGAACTATCATTCATCAAGCAGCTGCATCTCAACCATCTTTTCTTTTTTGAGACAGGGTCTGTGTAATCCATCCAGGTTGGCCTTGAAATTGTAAGGCTCCTCCTGCCTCAGCCTCCCAAGTGCTGGGATTATAGGCATACATCACCACACCTAACATCGCCAACTTTGTATAAGCCGTTGGTACCCTTTTCAAGCCTCGGTATTTAGAGAAATCCTTTGTTTAGTTTGAATTCCTTCTTGCTGGCAAGTGAGGCCATTTGCTGGTAGTGTGTAGTGGTACAGGGATTCAGAAAGACTTGGATTGTGGACCTGTGTCTGTCATGTCCTTCCCAGTACCCTCGGGACTGTAGACCAGGTCTGCATAATATAGACCAGTGACAAATCCTCTGAGAGGGCCCATTTCTGTCTTAGTAAAAAAGTACTGCAGGTGATCCTGCTTCTGGGTTGTGAGAAGTCAGTGAAGTTTCTATTCAACGTTCGTGGGGGATGTATGTGTGCCAGAAGACTGATGGACAAATCAGCAGGGCCTACAGCTCTTGAGAATAGTGCATAAGCGTATGATGTCAGGAGTGGAAAGTATAGTGATAAAAAGACAATAGGGCAAGGACATGGGAGGGCATGTAGATGCAATGGTCAGAGAAGGTTCTTGGACTAACAATGTTACCTGCTGTTACCTTTCTGAGAGTTCATGAGCATTACATTTAAAGAAAAAGTAAACTTTCGTGCTTTATTTAATTTTGTTTATGACCAGCATCACAAAATTAAAAGCACATACAAATATTATAGTTTACACAGAAATCAATTGTTAAGTGAAAAATAATTAATTTAATATATTTAAAGAATATATACATAATGTATATTTTATTGGTATATTGCCTTTATACTACAGAGTGTAAAATTTATGCCAGAATCTAGTAAATTAATCATACTTTTTGTCTGTGTTTTCCAGCTATATCTTTAAGGTGTTTTCAAAGGAATTACATGAAGTAATAAAGGAGGAAGTAATAAGGGAATAAATGATGATGATATGCTTTGGAAGGAAAAGGCGATCTAGAGATAATTTCTTCTAAAGTAACTAGAAGGAGGCAGCCAGGTTAACATCAGGAGAAGGATATCCCAGGTTAAGAGGACAACCAGTGCAAAGGCCTAAAGGTGTAGGTGGTGCATCCAGCTTGAGAAGGCAGTTCAAGACCATTGTGGGTGGAGATTGAAGTGGAGTGTAGGCAAAGACGGGATTGGGGATGTCTGCGAGGACCACATTAATGAAGCCTGTGTTGGTATGCTGGTGACAGTGAAAGAAGTGCTAAGCCATGTGACATTGGTGTTCCCAGATCTTCAGGAGATTGAGGCAGGAGAATCTCAAGTT